TAGCTGAAACACTCCCAGTTCCTTACTTGACATCTTTGCAGTGAGGAGTAGGTAACGTTTTCAGTGTATTCCAGTCATTGGCTCTGTAATAAACACATTTTAGAGTAGGATGTCATGTTATATCATATTGATGAGGTTGACTGTATTCACAGGGTGGTTCACACATACCACAAAAAACAAAGAGATACCGACGATGAATGTCAGAAAACAGGGCTGGCTAACGCTGGCTAGCATCGATGTGCACATGAACACTGTGTGGAAAGACTGTTGGATATATTTCGCAAGCTATTGCATGTTAGCAAAATAAATAGTATCACCGGCAGCCAGTGTGTGTTGGTAGCATTAAACGCATAGGAACTGTGACTATATAACAGGTGAAATAGCTCAAGTAGTTGACGCTAGAACTGACTTTTCAGCGCTACATCTCTGCGGGATCCAATGAAGGAGCTGGAGCTTAGCTGGCAAGCTACATGCTAACGTAAAGCAGCTACAGTAATGTGTTCTTTCTTCATAGCTAGGTTAGCAAGTCTGAAGCAGACGTCGTCAATAAATAGAGCGGTAGTCAGCGTGAGCGACTTTAACTGTAATTATAATGTTATTACAGTAACTTAAATGTTTCATAGCACCGCTATGTGGTTAGCTTTACGTTAGACGGTCTGAATAACCAGCAGGCTAACGGCTAGCTTAGCTACCTAAATGAGATACAGAGGTAGTATTAGCATGCAACGTCAAAAGCAACACAGCTAGACATATACAAATTCCCGTAGATTTTAATGATGACATGCAAGCATGGTAAGCGATGGCCAGAACACTCACCCTAAACCCGTTAGTCCCCGCCACAGTGTGTAACGTTGCGTAGTGGCTTTGCCTGGGAAGGCTAACCAGCTAGCACAGAAACAGTCCCCACAATAAACGACTGAAATGGGGTCCACTCGGAAGATTCCTGCAGAATCTTCCAGAATTGCACCCCCACCCTCTCCTCATTACAGCTTGCCTCGACGCTGGTGCTCATCGCCCTCAACTGTCACTGCAGCTGCTGCTCTCACTTAATGATATGACGGCATAAACATATTTCTCTCCAAGAACAGTCTTTCCATTCACATGAAAAGAGAAAGGTGTCATAATAGCTAAATTGGGTTTTAACTACATAGCTTTATCTTGAAGGTGCTGATGTGCATCGTCAAGACTTCTCAGAAAAAAAAAAAAAAATTTAGCTCGTTTACTCACGAAGCAAAAGAAACTGACTTAACAGTTGTTACCCTGCCTGTAAAATACATAACCTGATGTCAAAAATGTGCCATATCAGTGTAGATGCTCCACAATTTACACCCATTGTTTTCTACAAGTTAATAATCTCGGGTTATAATATTTTTTTAAAAGGTGGAATTACTTATTATGTCACCACACCGCAAGTTGCATTATGGACGCTTCACAGGCTACTAAGCTTTTGAGAAAATCAAGGTTGCCCTATTCTGCTGCTCCCTTGTTGTGAGAACTGAAATACTTTGCATTCTTGTTCACATTGTCTGAGAGCTGCCCAGGTCAATAGTTGTAATAGTGTGTTCCCTAAAGATAACAATCCAAAGCCTGTAGGATTTAGCCTACATCTCTGCCCATTCAACCTGAATAGTACTTGTTTTGGATTTGTTAATTGATTGTGTTCATTGTGACCCCAGTTCTGTCTGTTTACACTGCACACTTGAGAGCTTATTTTATTTCTGCTTGACCTGCATCCTGTATAATATGCATGTAGACACTGTTGTGATCTTGCCTGCAGGTGTGGTGCTTCATCTTCTTTTCGTTCACCAGGCCATGGCCAGAAAGCTGTATGGATGGGACGGGCTGCAGATTCCACACACACATGCACGCACAGGGCAGGGCGTCGGACACCTGTGATGGAGTACATCTGAAGGTAGGGTGGAGGTCACATGCCTCCTGTAAGCTACTGTGCAGGCTTAACACAGACACTCACACAGGGCCTCCCATGCATGCCCAGGGGCAGAACAGGGCCTGTGACATTTTGAATCAACCAGACGGAAACCCGTAAAGCTGTTCCTTTAATGCAGATTCAGACCCAGTTCTTATTAAGCCTGTAGAGCTCTCCAAAATAGACTCAGGCAGTGGAACTAAGCAGACTTGAAAGTTTACTCTAGTGGTGGATGGTGGAGGTATTTTTAGAAGCTGCTGTAGTCAGATTATTATGATGTATCATCCCAGAGGTATTCCCTGGACCTGGACCTGGCCCTGGCCTTGAGTATTATCATTAACCTGTCTGTCTAACCAGCATTCACGATAGGCGGCGTACAGTACTCGATTTCAAAGCACCAAGACTCAGCAACATGTATGTATAAACTGTGCAAATGACATCGTCCTGCTGATGTGGTTGGTTTCATATTCATAAACATATTCGCAGACTGTAAATATCCACTGTAAATGTTTCATTTTCTGCCTCTTAATTTTACCTCTTTACCTCATTTGATGAAAGAAACAGGTAGACTGATGAGATCTGAGGTATTCTCACAAATGTCGGTCATCGTAAATTGTGATGTGCAGTGCATGGAACACAGGTTATTGTGTAGTCAAGCACTTACAACCTTTTATTCAAAGGTCTGTGGCCTGTTTGAGTTGGGCGCAGAGCTGGAGCTGCTTTAGGTACTTTTAGCTAATTTGGAGCTCCAAGTTGGACTGTACTTCACATAGCCAACAAATCACTTGTAAGCATTTAGAAGTCAGGTATCATTGCTTCCTCTGATAACGCTGCTGCTACCATTGCTACAGCTACCACTACTAGAGCCTGACCAATATTTGATAGTTTAAAAGTCTAGTAACAACGTACTCTTCTATAATATTGTAACATAAAAACATTACATGAACCAACATTTTTCATGAGGATCTCTAATGTAGAAATTCAGAAGATTTGGTGACCAAAAAACTTTGATAAGTCTACAGCTTATCTAACACTTAACCAAAATAGCAAATGTAACAGAAGGTTTTATATAAATGAGCCTTTAAAACTCTGAACTAAAATAAACATTATATGAAGTGGTGTGTGATGTAGGCAACCAAATATTAATAGTAAATGCATTTTTAATAGAGAGAAAAGCCTGTCACCAATGTTCAACTTATGGCACTTCTTTTGACTTATTGGCCAACAACACAAAAGAAAGTGCAAATAAATTAGAAGAGGATAAACAAATGAAACGCTGTCCTGACCTGTTTCGGCTCTACCTCCACTCTTCTTCGTCCCCTTGGAGACCCCCAACTCTGTTTATTTACTCATTCTCTGTTTATTTTTCTTCTCCCTTTCCTCTCTCTCTCTCTTTTCCCTATATCCTTACACACACACACACACACACCAACTTACATGCATCTAACTTTCTCCGGTACCTCTTAATTAATTAGTTAATTACTCTGCATATCAGCATTGCTAAAATGTCCAATGCTACTGCTACTATTACTACGGTTGCTAATAATAACAGCAACACCAACAACATTGTAGTTCCTAAAGTGTTTTAATTGATGTGTACATAAACATTTACAATGTAACTGATCATTTAATTGAAACTCTATATATTCTTTGATCACTTCAGTGTTTGAGTATAACGGCCCTGTTTTGGACAAGATACACAAGACCATAGCTATTTCCAACCCCAGTCCATTTGTACGCATGCAACATTATTTCATATCCTCTACACATTAATAGATAATATCAAAGGCAACAGGAACAGTCTATTCTCAAGAAATGCAATTAAAGTTCAGTACAGCAAAGTTAGAGATCAAGCAACATACTATAGCTTAAATACACAGTTTATGTAGTTAGAAGGCCTTTACAAAATCAAAGACAAAGCCATTTGCCTTTTCTCTCAAAGATTACTATTATTGAACAGAGATATGTGTTTAAATGTGCTTAGTAACACTTCATTAATTGATGTATGATAAGATTTAGCTGGAACTTGTTTGTGTGCACGCAGTTCACTGAATGAGTATTGCTGCCTCCTGATACTGTGCTTGTAGTCTTTGGAACGTTTTTTTAGGATATTTGGTTTTTGATCTTTTTAAGCTGTAGCAATGATCTACGATCTGTCCGTCTGTCTGTGTTTTGCTGAACTACCTTTGGATACATTTCCTTCTGTGGTGACATGTAAAAGTGTTCATCAGGTGGCAATACAATTGACCATTGGCTCCAGTGATTAGATGTATCCTACATCCTCGCAGTATGAAGTGTTGTTCATAACTGGGGACCAAAACTGTGTAATATCTTTATATATGACAGAATAACTAGGCCAACACAGAGACAAAACCTACAAAATTTATTTCACACTTGTTTTGCTTTGATCATATTTGTGAATGGTTTATTATGATTAACCATAATGTGAATCTATGGAAAATGTCTTAAATGTCTAAATGTCGTAATTCTCTGAAAGTGTTTGTCTGTGTTTGTCCGTGTACATACAAAAAGTAGAAAGATTGTTTTAATTCTCCGGAATTTGACCCTCACACCCTTCGGTATCTTCAGGATGCACTGAAGATAACATTAGAGAAACCCTCAATCTGATAAGGGACCACATTGTCTGATTAAATCTGGGGACAAATCAGCTGTCCCCAGTTAGAGTTATATTTACTGGGGTGAGCAACTGCTGTGCACACCTGAAAGTGAGTGTCTTACTACTTTCCACAATAAATGAACGGGAAAAGCACCAAATGTAGTGCATTTTACTTTTCTCGGATTCTATATATGCATATACTACTGCCGTTTAGAATAAAGACTCGATCAAATTTATTATGGACAAATGTGCAAAACACGCGTAATATTAATAGTTTTCATGGCACAAATTTTCTGTGTGAAGATGAATGAACTTCCCTTCAGTATGTTGTGCTCAAACAGTCCCAATTAAAGCTCAGCTAATGTTGAGGTAAAATCAGAGTGTGGAAACAAAATCTACTGTGGGACAGTAGCTGTGACTGTCTGTCTCGTTATGGACTTTTTGCTACATATCTGATATTTCTGCACTTTAATCTACACACCAGTCATTTGGTTGACATTTATGTGGTTCTGTGTGGGAATGACCTGACTCTCCCTCCGGACCATCTTTGTCCCTCATGTGAACTCAAGTGACACCAACACCTGTAATGACTGTCCACCTGCACAACATCAATTTTTGCTTGAGTCAATAATAACCAGCGTTTCCCATGGAACAGATAGAGCAGGCTGTCCATATCTGGTGGTGACAAACACCAGCATTAGCTTAAACCTGATACTCTGCCCTGAACTCCTAATGCACAACACCAGAACAATCAAATAGCTTTAAGAATAATACCAGCCTCGCCTCCAGTATCTAAAGTATTTGATGAGTAGCTCATGTCACTTAAGGCTGGTAATATAATCCTTTAATGTTTAGCTTGATGCTCTAAAGACAATATGAAAACTGAAAACTAGCGTTGTCAAATTAACCGAGGACATTCTGGTTTCCACATAATCATTACGCTATCTTTACTGCTACCTCAGAGTCCTCCATTCAAAACTATATGTTAAGTAAAAGCTGCTATGATGCCAGGAGCTTAATCATTGAAATGTATTACACTCTGCTTTTGAAACACATCACACTTGAGCTTTACAACACTGGCCAGTGGAACATTCAGCCAGTTAGCTTCAGTGATACTTTTATATGTTAACAACAACATTGAAAACACACATGGAAAGCCTTTATCAATAGCTAGTGCAGATAGTCCCACATTTAGATGATCCTCACACTTGCTGATGCTAATTGCTCCACTTCCTGAAAATCCCAGTCTTCTGTTCCAATCCTAAATAATGCCCAAAAAGTGCAGAAGCCATTTTTTTTGTGTGTTTTTTGGCACAGTATATAGCACCACCGAAGTTCTGCCAAGCAGTCTGTTTGGAGAGAAATCCTGTATCTTGAAGCATATTCACACAAACACGAGAGTAACACTGGCATCTTAGCACCAGCTGGAAAAATAAGATTATCCTATCAGTATTGTACAGAGTTTCTAGCCCAGCTACGCTTCCAGTCCTTCTGGACCACGATGCTAGAAAGAGCCTGTTGCAAAGAGAAGAGGATGCAGAGTTAACCATGTGGTGATGAAGCAAATCTATTCTGGCCTTTCACAGATACATTTTTTATAATGACAAACTAAACTGACTTTTCACTTAGCTCTTGATGTTGTGAAAAGCTATGGCTTATCATTTGGTAACTCAAGGATTGTTGCACATTCTTTGTTACCCCTGTTTATTTTTTTAATTTCATCAGTTGTTCTCATCCCATCTTTTATTGATACCACTACGTTTGTTGTCACTGAACTAGACTTCATGTTTGCAAACATGTTTTATGGTTTATATGAACCGACTTACCAGATGGGTGGGGTTTATGACATATAGGACAGAGCCATACGTTACAACCAATTACACACATTGTGTGAAAAACTAGTACGCAATCCTAATCTTTCTGGATTGTCCTTTTGCAGTAATTCTGATTTAGCTTGGGTATCAGATCTGATAATTCTGCTGTAATTCAACTGATCTAATGCTCCAGGAGTAAGAAAACAAATGCTAACAGCTCCTTTTGTATCTCAGGCCTGATTTTCTGGTGGGGCTGGTGCATGTTCTTACTTTTCAAGACTATTCCACTAAAGTTAGACTATAGAAAACCACACATTTGCTCTCTAACAAAGACAACTACAACTGTTATCTGTGGAAGGGTTTTTTTTCCGCCACCTGTTACTTTAAAGCGCATGTGTCTTAAGACTATCTGCCTTAAGTTCACATAATAGAAACAATACACAACAAGTGCTCAAAAGATCACATACTCTCACACACAGAAACAAAATAGCAAAAGAACTCAATTCAATGGTTTCCTTTTTGTTGCGCAAGCTCAAGTACCGTTGGCCTCAGGTGAAGCGAGGCTTTAGGGCAAAGTCCTTTCCTCATGTAGTTCTACTAATAAGCACCAGTAGAATTCAGCTGCTCCTGCACCCCCACCGCTACTCCTCACTCCTCAATCCCTCAGGGTAGCAGTCATTAACTGGTGGCAGTCTAGATCCCCTCGCAGCTCCAGAGGCCCCGGCAGCCTCATGCCCGTCTTCTGGTCCACACACCAGCACTTTCCCCGCTGACCATCACGTGCGGGATGGCACTGTGGGCATACAAGATATATGGGATATTCTAGTTACATATAACAGCTTATTCAGCTACAGGTTCAAATAATAAAGGTGCTGTAATAAATCTTTTTTATATTATTGATGAATTAAATGTAATGTTAAAGGTGTCACGCAGAATGATAAACCAACAGACACTCTGAAGTTCCCCTAAGCTTTACAGAGCTTTAGTATTTTTAAATCAATATTTTAGTTTTACTGCTCACAACTTTGCTGTTTTGGTTTACTCTCGCCATCCTCATTAGTGCGGTTTCAGTAGCAGCAGGTAACCCTCTGCACATTGCCTGCCCAGAACCAAATGGCACACCAAATGGCACACTGACAACGTTAGCGACTAGCTGGTGAACATAGTGCAGCATTTAGCAGCTGAAGAGACAGATATTTCCCTCTGGAGTAGGTGGAGACCTAAACAGAGCTAAAAAGAGAGTGTGTATTTGACTTACGCTCACCTGGTGGACACAAACACGACTCCCAAGGAATGCAATAAGCAAACATTTGATAACATATTCGCCAGTAAACGTTTAATTTATCAGAGTTGTGTGTACAGCTTGCTGCCTCCAAGAATAATTTAATTCTGGTTTGTATAAAACTGAGCACTAGGTTAGAGGTTACAGACTAGTTTGAATATCTTGAAAGAGTAGTTAAGGCTCTGTTGGCAGGGTATTCATTCTCTGAGATGACATCAGACCTGCTTTTAGTCTTTAAAGATGTTTTCATTGTTTTGCAGCACTTGGCTTTTTCCTGCATAAACGGTCAAATGACTGGAGTTTGTCAGGTAAAACATTTAGCACCAGACCACATTAAAAGAATGTTGTCAACTTACCCAAAAGCAGAATCATACATTAAACATTACAAACAAGCACTTTAAGTTGCCTTAAAGAAACTGTGAGAAGTGTTGAGAGAATAAAATTCATAATTTCATTCTGATTCCTTCTGTGAACTTTTAACAATTAATAATAATACAATAATACAAAATCTATTGTGTGATTCTGTTGTGATTTACTGCTTCAAAAAGACCAGTTAAAAATCTCAACCCTGCCATGAAATGATCCCCAGTTGTCCCTCATGACCTGTGCTTTACTTCCCGATAGGTTTTATCACAGTGCGCGTTTAGTTAAACAGTAAACAGATGCCTGCGAATCTGAGCAGACAAAGATACTTTAACCATGTTACACAATCAGCATAACTCAGACTTGACGGCTGTTGCCCTTAGCAAAGCTTTCCTTTTATCTGACTCTGCGTCTGCTGCTTTGATTGCATACACAACTCAGAGCAGTCTTATCTCTATTTCTATGTTCTCTGATTCTCTCACTCTTATCTGCATAGTTGCCCAATCTTGCAAAGGCAGAATAACAAAAAAAAAAGCAATTGCATCCAAAAGCTAATTGCATCCATCACAGCAATAAAGTGATTATTGTCCAACAGTTTAGGGGAAACCATTTTACACACGGAGTTCAACTGTTGGATTCTGAACGTAAATCACTTCTCATGTGAGCTTAGAAAAATAAGGGCTTGGCATCACCATGACAGTCTGCTTGGAGACACTTTTGAGTTGATCTTGAACTAGTGAGACAATATTTCATCGTCTGCAGACATGTTTTGGCCCACAAATTCCTGATGTGGTTTCAAGGGAACTATTTGAAGTATAAAGAGGCATTTTTATTTATATTGGCTTAATAGTAGAGATTCACACACATGGCCAAATAGTGGTCTGCTCAGTAATTTAATAAAGCTCATAACGAGCGTGTGCTTGAAATCACAGACCTGTTTAGCATGGAAATCTCCGTTCTTGTCACAGTTGGGTATAGGGATTGTGAAGAGATCATCATGTGTGCGGGTGTTTGATGCCAGTCTGTCCAGCGCTCGCTGTAGCTCAGCACGACATGGAGCCTGTAGGAGAAATAATTTCTGGTTTGATGTTTGCTCACATCAGCACTGTTCCAGATGTAGCTGAATGTAGACATTTGCAGTAGTGTGAGAAAACCGCGGTGTTAGAAAGAATGCCAAATAATTATCTCTAATCTTTAAAATGTCTAGGAAAATCATGAGAGTTAAAATCTAATCTAAAACTCAACCACCATATGTTAAGATATCATTTCAGTAAGTCATGAAAAGTAATGAATACATCTGCAGTGTCTAAAGTAATAATGTGATTTTAAAGTAGAAAATAAATACCAAGCAAACATGCATTTTGCTTTCATAATTTATTTATAATTGTTATTATTAAGTGCAACACAAAGTGCAGTTATGGATCGTTAAACTCAACATCACACATATTTAATTTGACAGTGAAATGTCAACACCTTTACATTGTTTTGCATGCAGATGTATCTGCAAATAACGCTTCAATTCAATTAATGAGCCAACTAATGATTGCATCTGAATGCATCATTCTGGCAGTTTATTTGATCTGCACAGCCAATCCAACTGCATTCCCACAAAGATAAAAAAAAAAGTATTTAAAAACATAAATATCCAAAGTATTCAGTAAACCTAACTGGGTGGGAAGCCACCATAAGCAACACCGTGGCATTAGTGTGCATTCACAGCACAACACATTTTTGTGTTACATGAAATGTGGAAAAAAACAGCCTGTTACTGATTAATGAGATGCAATGATCCTGCTCTTGCCAATGTTAAAACAGTAAATTGAATGTTGATGTCAATGTGCACCTGTGTTTTATTTCCCAAGACCCAAATTAAATGTTATGGTCTGTAAATAACTAATTTGTACAATTTATAACCTGACTGTTATGCCCATGGCTTTCGAACTATAAAGCCTTAATGTAAAACACCTGCTGTGGCGGAGGCATGTGCTGCAGAAGCGATTGCCTGGTTTTGTTTTTTTCTGTTAAACCGATAAGATGTCAGAAGATCGTTTCTCTCACCAGCGCCGCCTTGGTCTCCTCCCTGGCCGTGTTGCTTCTCTGATTTGTGGATTTCGAAGGGTGTCGGGCCAGGGTCTTCTGTATGCAGCGCTTATCTTGTGGGCTGCATCGGATATTGCTGTTGTTTGGGTGCTCAGGGATGATCTCATCCTGCCTGTCCATCGCTAAAGGACAAGGAACAATGCAGAAAGTTCCTTTAATTCAGCAGGAAAGGAGAACAGTGTACTGTCAAAAGTATTAATAAGAAACATTTTTAGGGCTTTTATTGGCATGATTGTCAGTGCAACGTAATAATATCACATTTAATTATATGAGAATTATTTAAGGCAACATCCATTATTTTAATGATTTGCTTGGGTGTCAGATATAGAGCAGGAGATGTTCTGCTACTCCTCCTTGTCTATATACATAACATCCCATACAGCTGAACGTGGTGAGATGTAGGCTAAAAATGAGGCCAGGTTAACCTCAAGGACAAATCCACGATCCAGCTCTGGGGGGTAATCTGTACCTCAGCTCTCAGCCTGGTACTTTTCAACTACAGTACCACAGCCATGCCACGAGCGCTGAGGCTTCGTAAATGATCCCACCCCTGTTCTGCCACCCTCTTTACAATGTGGTCTGTGCCACATTCACCTTTGCATCCCTGTAATCCTGCAGTTCTGTGGCCCTGCAGGCAGCCAGCTGCTTCCTCAGGAAATGCCCCCCCTCCCTCTTAATTCTCCACCCTTCCACAACAACCTCAGTCAGTGCCAGATGGAGGTTGTTAGAGGGTATTTGCATTGTCACAAGTGGGCACAACTGTGTGTATGTGTGTGTGTGTGTGTGTGTGTGTGTGTGTGTGCACTGGATGGTGATGGGGGTATACACAATGGGCAAACTGAGAGATGAAGGTTATGTGTGTCTTTCTTTGTGCACATGCATGTTGCCTGGCTTGTAAGACTTGGCAGCGTTTTACCCATTCTTCTCATAACCCATGGTATTTTACAGATTGGCGCTGGAATCAAAGCACTTTGAGCTGCGGCTTTACCATTTTGAAGCTGTTCTCGCTCTGATCATTGAACCAAGCCGGAGCTCTGGTTAATATCTAGGGTCACTGCCAGGCATCCAGTTAATTGCGGTTGGCTAAGAGACAATGAAGGTGGGTCAGTAGCCTCCTTAATCGTGTGCAGTGTGCAGCCTTTTCTCGGGTCTACAATGCATGATGACACAAACCCACATCCAAACCAGTACAAGCTTTTTTTTCCTGGCCCTGCTGTATTCAGGATGTTGACCCTGGACCATTTTTTGGTGATGACTAAAAAATTTTCTACAACTCGGTGACAGGAGTTGGAAGGTGACCAGGTTTCTCTAAACTTCATAGACAGTCATCTTGCTTGGCTTGGCTTGTCTGGGAGGAAGTGTCTCTTGGCTGTTTGTATTTTTAGTCTTGTTGCCGTTAAGCCTTGCTCATCAGCACTTTCTTCCACAAGAGCCACCAGGGTTTCAGCTGTTTCCTTCGTTCCAAGTTGTTCTTTCTCCTCTTTTGCCAGTTCACACTTTTCCGATTCCACGCTCTTTCGTAGGGCGAGCCAAAGTGATTTAGAAGTGGGTCAGGGGTGGCGTGTCCTGTTTGCTACCACTGCTGTTCTCCATGGAGGAAGTTGCCACTTCTCTGTGTGGTTTCATTTGATTTGGCTTTAGAAATATAATTCCTTCAGCGCATTATCAGCCCTGGAGCTGATACGTTGAAGTTCATTGCCAGTCACAGGTGCACAGCAAAGATAAAGAAAGGTCTTGAGTAAACATATGATCATACTCAGAGTCATGAACACTCTACATCTGTCTTTGTGTGTTTTGGTTCATTCTAATAAATCAAAACTAAGCCAACATGATCCATAAAGACAAAACAAAGACCACTATCTATCTATGAATCAGCAGGTTAAATCCATCATTTAAATTCATCCGTAGACTCTTTGTCATATTTTAATAGCCTAGTGTGAGGACAATACAGCGTATAATTATTGTGATACAGCACTGATCAATTGAGCATACAGTCGGGTGAACACAAAGCAACATTTTTTTAGCTCTTAGCTGTCAAATTCCACATCTATTTGACAATAAACTGCATTGCTTGCTCAATCTAGTTCCTTGTTAAATATTTGTCATATCACATATCTGCCGTCGCACTTGAAAATACTGTATATTCATCACAATGGTCACCAGATGTATCAGCAACTTTGATTATGGGATGAAAGAGAGCAGTCTGATTGGCCCGGCACTCTACTCCTGATGAACTCATTTTCCGCCAAGGAAAATATCATTTTGTGGTTACACAATTTGATCTACATTCTGACAAGTACGTCTTCTGACTATATACAGTCTTATATATTTTTCCGTAGAACACTAACATAAGAAAATTATGGGGCATCAGATTTCAAATTCCAATGTTACTGGCTTAAAGGCTGAACTTGTAAACCTCAAAGACAAATATCCTCCACAAATAAATATTTAGTTATGGTCAGCGAGATTGGCAGAGTACTTTCCAGTGGTTTATACTTCCACTTAGAGCTAAGCCAAAGGACAGTCCGCTGTGTGAGACATTTGTACAAAAACCTGAGATACACCCTTTTAAAATGTTTTTTCACAGTGTAAAAAACACTAATTTAAAGGATCCCTATAAAAGAGAAATATAAAAGCAGCTGAAAGACTTGCTTTGGGTCACCTCCAGTGGTTTACCTTCTCATTATGCTGCAGTGGTGTAGAATGTACTTCAGGTACTGTTGGGTGTGGATACAGGTGCAGCTGCTGCAGGTATAGATGTACCACAACCCATATCTGACCAAACACAGAAAACTTTTAACCAAAGAGGGAAGGTAAACATAGCTTTTCAGCCCGGTGTTAAGTTACTTTAAAATGTTTGTTTATGGTGCAATCAGTATTGCTAAGATAGTTTAGTATCTATCTAGATAATCTTATATATGCTATTTGTATTCTGCATTTAATACATTCTGTTAAATACCATCCTGTTCCACTGCAACTGTTTAGTTGCATTCCTGTTCTGTTATATTATTCATAAATGTTTAAACCCCAAACATTGGGATTAGCCTGATTTGAACAAAGTCAGTATGTAAAACTTGCCTAAAGTGACTTAAAATGTGATTTTCACACAGAAAAACATGTTTTGTGGTGATGTAAGTTCTCCTTGACACATGAATAGAATAGATTATACCATATTGACAGAGACTAATCTTCTAAAAAAATGGATACTCTTTCAGGAGGAAACTCACCAAAGAACATTTTGTAAAACTTTTATAGGTGTTTTTTAAGAGTTTGTGGCAGCGAGCTCAAAGTCAACTAGGCTTACTACCAAAAAAATGTTCTTTTCAGTCAACACTGGATGCTGCCAGAGTATCCAATCACTGGTTTCCAGGCAGAAGATTTCTTTGAATCAGTTAATCATCAGAGTTGATGTCTAGTGCAGTAAGCAGACTTACCGCATGTGCTGTAAGAAGGCTAATGAAAATTTTGGAAGTCTTTATGGTATCACTTGTCAGTGGAAAGATAAAACATTAAATCAAGACTGAATGCCGCTGCCTACTCTGGCTACTTCCCATTCAGCTGATGTCAAAACAGACATCCAGAAGTGCAGCATGTTTGCCAGTTTGAATCGAAAGAGAGCACAGCAGCAGCGTATGGCCCTCTTTGATTCAGTGTTGATTTACCCTTTCAGGAACAGAAAATAATTAGCAACAAATCTGAATATAATTAAAAATGTGCATTCCTGCTTTGAATCCTAAGTTCCACAAGAAACTGAAGCCAACCATAAAATCACTTTTTTCCACAGCAGCTTTCTAGCCGTTTTATTCATTTTCAGTGAAGAAAACCCTTTGGTTGCCCTGGCGCAATGCTATGAAAAACTGATATTTCAGTCCAAGGCTTGAAACTCTGTTAATGTCTGTAATAAGCCAGCTTTAACACACACACACACACACACACACACACACACACTCACACACAGACAGATAGGTATGGATCAGAGGCAGAAAAGAGAGCAGAAACTCTTCCACATGGTTCATCATCCAGATAAACATTATCCTTTATCCTGTCAAAAATCTTTTGGATCAAAACATTGTACTGCAGTATGAAAAAAAAAACATGTTTTCGGAACTTAAGTTCAGTGTGAGGCTTTTCCCACATTCACTGCCTCCTCTGAGATTCTCTGAGTCTCTTCTGTTTTCAGGAAGCAATCCTATTTTTTATCTCGATAAAAACATCTTCAAAGCCATCTGAATTTGCGTCACTTATCCAACCACATAAACTGAACTGCACTATTATAGTTATCTTTAACACAAGGACACAGCTCTATAGGCCTGATTCCATCCATACTTATTTTGTAGATTTATTTGGCAGATCTGTGAGTGAATTCTGTGATAGTGAGCCCGGGTTATCTTAGCCATCCATCACTTGTTGCTGCACTAATACTACTGCTACATGTGACGAATAGATCTATGAATAGAGGGAAACCTGCAGCTGCAGTGAATTAGGTCAAACTATTTTGAGTTACATCATTAACTTAATTTTGAGTGGATTGTTCTTGTTTTAACAGAATCAGTGTCTTGACTAGAAGTGCAAGGAGGGGAAATTGAAGTGAAGGGGACTACTGCCTGGAACACTGGTAACAAATACAATATTTGATCTTTATGAAAGGCATGAATTAACTGAAATAAACACTAAAAATCACAGTTTATCAAGATATTGAGCTGTGGATTGCTTCACTGTTTTATTGCTGAATTAATAGGTTCACGTGTGAAATCGTGTGAGTATTCACTGTCCTCCTCAGATTAGACCTGTTTCATGGCCTGGACAAAGTTGGATTGTTTATGTATATCTCCGCTCCAACACTAGAAGGGGGTCCCTGTCCCATGGAGGACAGCAATTAGCTAATCACATTTACTCCTGCATAAGAGTCCCAGCTGTACAAATGTGCTGCACAACCAAAAGAAAGCAAATACACAACATTAAGGGACATCTGCCGAAAGAGGTTTGGGAAAATCCTCATATATCGCCCTGAAAAATGCGTCCACATCTTTAACCAGTTCCCACCTTAGCAAAACGTGCTGAGGAGTCGTTGGCCGTAGGAGAAAGGAAAATCTAGGTTAGCATGCTGCTTTCATAAAGTCTCGTGTGCGTCACAGTTAATTGTGCATAGTTGGACAAAGTCTGGGCTCCACCTATAGCTTCATTCATGCAACTCCTTTGGTGCCTGTAAGTGTAAGACTTTTCATGTCTGACAACTGTATCAGTTTGTAAATAGTTTCACTGTCAGAGGGAAGCATTTGAATATGACACCAGGAAAGACTCGGCAGGAATGTCGAGACAGATCCCAACACACGCATGATGATTTATTCTAAGTATTAAGATAGAGAGGTTTTCTAGGAACGGCATATTAAGATGCACTAAAGCTGTCTTAGACCTTGACATAAGATGCAGTATAGTGCTTGTTGTTGCTATGGAAATTTGTTTCAATAATAGCCTTCAGGTTGGTACATTTTGTGAGAGAAACACTGTTTTGAACCAAAGAATGGTTTTATAGCTCATAACTCTTGCCAGCCTGATGCATTAATGCATTACTTTTTCAATTAGTAGTTAGCAACTAGGCTTAAACATGAACTCACAATGGCAGCACAAGTTTTTGTGATGCAAGTGTTATCTTGCAGTATCTAGATGCAGAGCTGTTACACCCTAAATTCCCTTCATTGGGCTGTCAAGATCTGTCTCTATCCCAGGGTCCTTTTCATTATGAATTCTCTTGGTTTTTAAAAACCCTCTTCTATTTTTATCTAGCATGTTCGCTGTTGCTAGGAGTGGGGCAGTGTCAGACATGTATTCAGGAGATGCACCCCCGTGTTTAATAATGCATAAGTACGGAGTAATGCGCCACAAAGGAAATCTCCTGCTTGTGACTGGAGTTGTTCTTCGCCTCTCCCCCGTGCCTTTCTGATTGTCTCTCCGCTGCCATGGTTTACATTGAACATTCTTACACAGCAGATCTGAGCTGCTGCCCAGAAGAATTGATTTACAGTGAGATTTATTGGGCAAAGCTTTCCCGCTTTGTTATGACAGACTCCAGGGGTGAGAAGGAGTGTGGAGGCAAACAGAACTCAGCGCTCAGATTACAGAACACCAAAAACAAAACTTATGAACTTTCCTAAATGTTCCATCTACTGCCGCCCCGCCCCGGAGAAAGGACCCGAGACTCCCCCCAGTGCACTATAACCCAGTTCCGGGCCAGCTGATCGGACAACACTGCATCAAAGAGCAGAAATAATGTTCAGGGAGCACAGCCGGGCCAAGCTGAGACAGCCCTCTGTTTTTATCATGCTCCAAACAGCTTTCCTCGTCTTTCTGATTCCAGTTAGTCATGCTATGTGCCGGCCTAACCTATGCTGGCCCTGCTCAGAGAGCAGAAGGCTCTCATTTCAGGCTTGGCAGTTAGAGTGCCGATGAGCTCATCCTCATGAAGGAGCTGGACTCGGAGGGCGATGTGCTCAAAGGCTTGTTAGGGCTGGGGGGAGGGGGTGGGGGGTTTGTGCACCCAGGGCCAGGGGAAACAGATGCTGCAATGAAGATGAGTGTCCTGGGAGTTTTGTGTTAGCTAAGTTGATCCAAATCTTTGGTGTTCTGGCATTAGCAGATAGCCTACTGCCATTACCAGTAACTGTCTGGGAGCCTGAGCTCAGCAGCGCCGGGCCAGTTAGTTGATCATCTTTGGACAAATGAAACAACCACCAAGTCTGAGACACATTATTACAATTGTCTCATATGGCATCATGGAAATCAACACCCCTCCCTTTGAGGAAAGCAGAGGAAGACAAAACAGTGGACGCAGTGAACTGGAACTGGATATGCAGATGAGACATCCAGGATTAGACATCCCACTGTGTGAAAGTGGAAACAGACTTTCCTCTTCGCAAAAGGAATGCAAGAACAAAGAGGAGAATGAGAAGCCGGCCCAGAGGAGTGTGATAGAGACATCGACAGTAGAAGACGAGTTAGACATCTGCACAAGCAGAAGGAGGAATGGGGGCGTCTATGAAAGAGCACCAAGTGAATTACTGATTGCAGAGAGCTCTAATAGCCCCAGACTGGCAACACTCCATTACAGTCATTTCATACAGCAGCTTTTATTACGTCCTCCCATTAAAAACACACGCACACAGACACACACACGCTGACTCACATTCTCAGTACCACCACAATGCATTGCACCGCCTGCACTACACGACTACCTGCAAGATCTCAGTTTAACAAAGGCATGATGAGGTAATTGCACCCCCAGAGGTTGCTGGGAAGGAGAATTGTTAGCGCATTGGTCACTGCATTAACCAAATGCATGATTCCTTCACCAAAACAGGTAATCTCCTTGCATGCCAGATGTCATAGAAAGCGCAGACACATGCAGTACAAGCTCATACACACACGCCCACCCCGGCTATCTCCACAGCGCTCTCCTCTGAAGCCTGCTCTGCGTCTTACAGCAGGGCCCCTTTCACAGCGAGCGGCCGCAAGACAGCAGAGGGACTGTGTGGGCTCTCCCATCAGGCCATGCGTGAGGAGCTGGTGTGTGTGCATGCTCTGGTTCGGGGCTTAGCTGAGATTAGGGTAAACAAGCAGCACATTGTCACCGCCCCACCCCCTAGACCCCCACCCCCAAACCCTGACCCTGCCCAGCTCAGGTAAGGCCCAGTGAGCGGAGACAGAAAATATTCTGCTCTGCTCAGCCATGCGTCCACAGAGCAAGAGGGATGTAGATACGCCGGTCCAGGTTTGGAGAGACCTGGTCATCTGTGGCTGACAGTTTCCTACTTCGAGAGCATAAACATTTGCAGAGATGTGTGTGTGTTTGGTGCTGGGAGCCTAATTGTAATTGACAATAATTAAAAGGGAGAAGTGCCCGGTGTAAAGAAGTGTATTCGTCATCAGTTCACACAGAGACTCTGACCCCTTCGCTCTCACCTGAGTTCTCCTCCACCTCTCTCTCATCGGTGCACACCCCCTGACCGTGCATCAGTGAGTGCAGTGGCCTCTCCACGCCGCGCGGCGGGTAGCAGCGGAGGCCCGTGCCACATCGGGGAGAGTAGACGCCGCAATGAGTCCCCTTAGGCAGGGCGCAGGTGGGGCAGCAGCCGCAGCCGGGCTCCCGCACCGTCTCCTCGCAACCTTCCGGCAGATGGCAGCTGGCCAGCCTCTCCTCGGAGCACACCGGGCAGCGGATGGCCTGGTCCGATAAGCACAGCACCACCAGCGTCAGGGTGCCAAACGCCCAAAGGCCCCAGCAGGAGGGAGCTACTGCCACACCACCTCCACGCACCATGGCAGCCCCGGCACCTGCACGCAATCCTTTGCCCTCGTGTATGATCCCCTTTGCTTCCCCTCTCCTCTCTTGAGTGTTGTGCGGCTTTTGATCACTTTCTACTTCAACAGCAGATCTTATACCAACAAGAGAGGAAAGCTTTGTCCCAGACGGTCTTTGATATTTTCAGCTGGTTAGTGTTTCAATTGCAGGGACACAATGCCTCTGCTGTATTGCCTCTCCGTTCCTCTGATTCAATTTCACAGCGCAGAAACTGGAGCCTGCTCGTGATCTCGTGATCGGCTGGCAAATGTAGTGGTGATAAGAACTAGTTTTTGTTGTGTTGGAATGAACAGTTGCAGGAAGGATATCCACCACTGTGTTCAGGTGAGTCTTGCTCTCTCTTCAAGTTTGAGTCCACAGGCTCGCCCGCCCTCTAATGAAGCACCAAAAAAATCTGGTCTACAAGTGTCCAAAGGCAAAGCAGGTCATCAAAAGACCGTGTTTTAAGTAACAGCTGCAGTTTCCTCCTCTTGCTGGTGCGCAGTGCAAAGGACTCGATCCTGAGAATGGCTAAACACGAGTGGCTCTCCTTGGACTTTATACTGGTCCATGGACACGCCTCTTTCTACAGTGAGAGAGGAGCTGAAAGGCACAGCGGAGAACAGCCAGGCTAAAGCTCTCTGCCTCTGTCTCCCTCTGTCTCTCTCTCTAGTTCTCTCTTACTCAGGCACACAAGCTTATATACACTCTCCCTCACTTGTCCTCTCAATCCTGAGTGCACAGAGAGAAAAAACAGCCCTTTCACTCTCACACACAGAATACACTTCTCTCCCCCACCCTCCCATTATTATTCTTTTCATTATTATTCTTATTTGACGTGACACACGATAAATTGATGTGGTCTGACCAACATTTGGATCCATAAAAACCTAAACGGCAGAGAACGCATCAGCGCTGTTCCCCTTTAATCAACCCCAAATTCCCAACACACACACGTATGTGCATCTGCGGCCGAAACATTGTTCAAACAACATCCTCTTGCCTGCACTCTCAACAGGGTCTCAGTGTGTGTTGATGTGTGTGTTTGCATACACGTGCGTCTAGTGTTCAGTTAGTCTGTGCTGTCGCTCCCCCCCAACCCACCCCCCAGATCTCTCTTTCTCTTTTTCTCTCTCTTGCTACTGGAGTGGGCAGCTATAAAAGGCAAATGGACAGTCTAACCCCCCCCCCCCACCCCCCCCTCTCGCTGCCGCCCTGCCCCCACCGGTCCTAAAAAAGCCTCCCACCAGCGGGATCGCAGGATAAGTTTTACCAATGCTGAAAGCGGGGATAGTTTATTGTACGTGTGTGTTTCTAATCATAAATCCGCAGGTTACTTTGTTCTTGTTTGCCCGTGTGTGCAGATATGCCCTGCACCCAGGCTTTAAGTTTTTGAATCATGGCTTTTATTAGTCGATGTTTTGTTTTTTGTTTTGTCCTGTGTGCCTTTGGCTCCATTTTGCCATGGAAACCCAGCATGTATTATAATGCCTTTGTGAGTGTGCTTTCTTTCTGCTTTTTCTAACCGGCTGGTAGCTGGTTGCCATAGGCGGGCCAGGGGCACCAGGCAAGCCTTACAAGGCTGTGCACCACTCAGGTGGGCGCTACAGTGTGTGTTGTTAGTTACACGGCACCCAGATTCCTCAGCCGTCCCTGTTTGGCAAATTATCAGTCAAGTTAGTCAAGATATCAATGGCCTTGCTGTAAATCATCCACTTTCTACACTGCAGGTCAAATATTTGAGAGAAAAACCACATATGGTCACATACAAGAATATAGCTTTAATGAGATGACTGACTATAATAACAATGTACTAAAGCAGTTGGTAGTTAGTGGAGCTGCTCACAAGAGGGCCAGCAGCTTCATTATGTGTCATTTACGAGGTGTTTGACTGAGTGTGTGTGTGTGTGTGTGTGTGTTTTGGGGGGAGGGTGGTGCCGTGCAGGATGGTTTCTCAGAGGTTAGATAAACAATTAACTAAAAATGTGTTCAAAGAGCTACAGTGCTTAGGTTTTTTTTACAGTGTGTACAGACTTATTTATTGATTGGAGGGAGAGTATTTGGACACATTAGTAGCTTTCAAGGTTGGCCACAAGATGGAGTAGTAGCTCCTTAAGTGGAACCAAGTCAGGAACCATGTGGACTGCCTGAACTGATACCAAACCCATAATCTGTTCTTTGTTTCATTCGTAAACGTGAAAGTGTTACAGACTCTACATGTTTAGGTATAGAAAAGGGATGTTTATATTAACATGAAAATGGTGAGGAGTAATCTAAATTGGTGTTGCTACTCTGCTGTGTGAACATTCTTTTTTGCTCCACCTTGTTCAAAAATAAGTTCCTGTTCCTTTAAGGGATCGCTCCAAGTGACGGTGCGTATATTCCATATTCAGAGAAAGTCCAGTGGCGGAGCGTGGAATCTCCTACTGCGAGAGCTGTTCTCCTCTGGGTGCTGAGCAAAAAGCGGGTAAGAATATTTCATCATTACTCAAACTTACTGTTTTCTTCAGAACAAAAAATAAAACCCCAAAAGTACCCTGGAATTAATTGTAACGTGTAGACACGCGCTTCTCAATTTCATTTTGACCGAATGAGAAAGTTTATTATTGCTGTATTTTCCTCACTGAATGTGGTGGAAGTGTAGTTAGAGCTCTCTGAATTGTGAAAACCTTTCTAAGTAACTACACAGTTTTCATGTTTTATTACAGGATAGATTTAAAATTATTCATACTTTGGCCATTTTTATTATTTCACTGTAAACTGATACAGGGCTTCTGAAACAGCTTTTAAAAAGTGCACAGCTGGGTATTTCACTTCTAATTCATTTTAAAACCACCTTGACTACGGTGTTGGAGCCTCACTGGCTGTTGGTATGGAAAGCACTTCTACACTTGCTCCTATGTACAGACTCGGCAGGAAGTGCATGTGCAGTGAATATCATCTCTTTCTCATAAGGCTAAATGTAGTGACAGGGTCGAGCAATCAACCGTGGGCTTTAACCCCCACTTTTTGCTTCTTTTTATGCTGTCCAACCAACAGGAACAGCGAGATGCAAGTGTTGCTTCTATTTCTTGCTTTGTTTTATAGAAATAGTGTTGGAGGCTTTTAATAGTATCATTGGTATTAAGAAGGTTTTATTGGCATGTGAATAGCTAAGAAAGTGTTTTCACTCGTCAGTGCTCCGTAAACACAGCAGCCTAGTTCTGAAAGTACCATAAGAAGGAATCTGGCATGACTTGGTTTGACTTACTCGGATTCTAAACTCTAAATCTCCCATTAACCAAATCTTGTAAATTCTCTTGAATTCCTCCCCACAGAACATTTTGTCATCATGAACACAGACCAACATCCTGAATTTACCACCCCAGAGGGAAACGGGATGGGTGAGTATCTTAGCGTGAAAGTGTACGTGATCAGGCTGCGCACATCTCTCCACATCTGCCACCATCCTGCCTGAGAGCACATGACATGGTATTGAAAGCTCAAGGTATATATGTGGAGGGGTTTGTGCAGGCTGCAGCTGGTAGCAGTTGTATATGTCCCTGCAACGGCAATATGAAGAAGTGTTCCTGCACATTTAATGTTCATGAAGGGATTTTAAGATTCCCTTATTCTAACAGAACTGGCCTGTACTGATTAATAGTTCTCTTAATGAAACAAAAAGTAACACAAAGTATTTGCACATGCACAACGTGTCACCTTGACTTTTTCAGATGTCTGCAGTGATGTTGCAGATGTGAAGCCACAGGAGGAGGAAGAAGAGAGGGAGGATAGCTCGTTCAGTGAGAATGGAATGCAGTGTGCTGAAGGTGTGACGGATCCACGTACGTGTACCCCCCACACACACACACACACATACGCATACGCTTGACATCTAGCATCGTACAATTACTTTTTTGTCCACGGACATTACAAACAGTTGGAAAACGTTGCTACAAACCCTGAAATTTAATACAGTGAAACGCTGCTGTTGCGAGATGTCTATCAAAGGAGTTAAATTAACTTGTTTTTTAGCGTGGCCACTGTGCTGTCCTGTTTTTATCTAAAGGAGTTTTATGGTTTCATATACAATATATATATAATATTTCTCAACCCATGGGAACGAGGAGGAGAGTTTTATTTTTTGACTTCACTTAAACATGAAAATATATTTTTTTAAATAGACTAGATGGAATGTTGTTTTTTTTTATCCAACAGCAATTAAAAAAGATTACATATGATGGAAAGGTTTGTATGTTATCCAACTGATTAGACAGGAAAGGCATCATGAAGGTCTTAAGTGCTAATTAAGCACTTAAGTGGGTATAGTAAAAAGTGACTTTTCGTGTCTCCTGCGCTGGTGCTCATCATGGTGTTTTATTCAGGGCAAAGTAATACCAAATACCTCACCATTTGATTTAATCTGCCTTCAACACTGTTTGGAAGGAGGTTGGGCAGTAACATGAGGGCCAGATCAACCCCACCTGATTTTTATAATGTCATGTATTAACAATGTCAGATATTATCTGCATTTCTACATATAAGCTCTGCAGAGTATCCTCACACCAAGTGGGACAATTATACATTTGCACATTTCTAAACTCTGACCAAATTATTTCACACATGATATTTTGAGCGTGGAAATGTTTACTCGGCCTTGTGGCCTTAGTCCCTTCATTTGTCACTTTAAAAAAAAAAGAACATGGTGTTAAAGACAGCACTCCTATTTATTTATGACTGCCACCCATCTGCCCTATTTCCTAAAGCCCTACTCTGCTACTGATGCATAGCCTGCGGTTCACTGCTCTGAGACCCTGGACTCTATATCAGGCCTCTCGGAGCTCTGCGTGTGCAAAGTTTCCATAGCACCTCGAAGCGCTTTCCACAATGCAAGGCGCTGCTGTTAAGCTCATCACCAGTCACCGCCAAGACCACAGTGTGGTTTCTGGATGGAACTGAATATGCTGGGGGTTAGTTGACACGTACCAAGAGCCTAGGTGAGAGGTCCTGCAAACCAGGCTTCGGGACTCTGCGTGTCAGCAGTTGTGGTGAAATGTGCGTTCAATTGATCTTTCCTGGAATGGAAATTTGACCTAATGTAGTAGAGGAGTTGTGGTCAAAATGGTCAAGAATAAACAACAGGAAATCTATTATATATAGTGCAAATGAGTCCGAAATAGTACTCTGCTGGCTGATAGAGTCAATTTGGAAAAGACCTTTGGTACAGATCAATGTTGGATTAGGGACTTTTTCATTGCATGTGACACAGGCAATAAACAATCAATCTGAGGTCTTTTTTTAAAAGCAGATAAGGAATGGTGTTGTTTGTATGAGGCGCCTGCTGCGTCGCTCTCCTGCCCTGGTTCTACATACTGTGTATTGAGAGGAAATGCCTTCCCCTTATCTCAAGCACACATCTTCTGACTGTCTTTGTGACACTACACATCAGCCCAAATTAAGATACCCACACTTTGGAAGTGTGCTAGTACTAATATCAGACTGTCAACTATAAATACAAATGTAGAAGTGAAGTTGTGACTGCGTTTCACATTATGGTTGGAGTCCCACCAAGCTGATTTAGCACCTTATTTGGACGTGAAAACAAACATCAAGTGTTGCATGTCCATATATCACTCCATATGTCTCGTCTCTTTAAATCTGTGCTTTTTATCACATGTTTCAGTCACTTAATTTCCAAATATATTCTGTGCTTCTCCCTTGCTTCCTCCTTGCTTAGGTACGATAAAGACAGAGGCAGAGGAGATGGAAGACAACGAGCACTTCCCCAAATCTGAAAAAGAAAGGGATATTGTGCCAAAAGAGGAAGCAGAGGGGGCCAGTGAGGACGGGATGGAGGAAGGATTTGATGAGGAGAGGACAGAGGAGGACGATGAGGAGGATAGGGAAGGGGAGGGGGACGAAGAGGGAGATACCCTGAATGAGCCACAGGACCTGTCACTGGTGGACTACTCGCGTTACGACAGTGCAGCCCTGCCAGACGCCCACGCAGCAGTAGCGGCTGGTGCAGAAGGGCCCTATGTGCCTGGATCCATGGCTCCCCGCATCCAGGCGACAGGCAAGCTCAACTGTGACATCTGTGGCCTGTCCTGCGTCAGCATCAACGTACTGTTGGTGCACAAGCGTAGCCACACGGGTAAGCACAGGAACACCTGACCTCAAACACAACAGTTGTGCAATCATCACCCTATTGACAGCTTTGGGAGATAGGGCTTTGCATTGACTAGGTCAAGATGTTTGATCGAGTAACTACGATTAAGAACACAAGAGTCTGCATCATATGTGACGCACATCCACAAGAGGATGTGAAATATCCTCTATTGTTGTTCAAATATGAAGCACATGCAATAACTTTGTGATGTGATTGCAGTGACAGATAGGTCAACACATCACAGTACATTTGCAGTCATTATTTTGCCTGAATTATGCAATTAATGTAAGAACTCGCTCATACTTTCTGTCGTGGTCAGCTTGTTGTCTGTTCACATGTAGTAATATTTGTCAGTGTGAAGAAATAGAAAGTCGCTGCTGACCACATCTGCACACACCATACATAATTATCATTCAGTGGAATATAACTATCTGTCATGCTTTTATCTTCTCATGGTTGGACTATTGTGAAAGTCTTTTAACTGGTGTAAACGAGAAATCAATTAATGGACTCCAAATTGTCAAAATTGCTGCAGCGAGAGTCCTTAAAACAAAAAAAAGACAAGAGAGCACATTACTCTAAATTTAAAGACTTACACTGGCTGTCGATTTGTTTTAGGATTTGTTTAAGATATTATTTACTACTTTTAAAGCCTTTCAGGGCCTGGCCCCAGAATATATAACTGCCGTTCCAGTACCAACCAGTGCACATCCTGAGACTGTTCCCACCTCACACTTAAGTAGACTGATAGTTTTCTGTTAGGGCCCCTCGGCTGTGGAAAGAACTCCGGCCTGCTACATCTAGATCCTCTTTTTAATCACTTTTGAAGACAGATTGTTATCAAAAGGCTTTCTTTTCATTTTTAGGTTTATTTTCATTCTTAACTATTGAGTTACACTGTACTTTATTCTTGACATTGCTCTACCTGACGTTCTAATTCACCCATTTTTTTTATTGATGGTTTTTATTCATTTGTTGTTTTAAATTTATTATGGTTGCCTGTTTACTCATACATTGCTGTGCATTATGGTTGTTTTTGTTGAAAAGCACTAAAAGCACCAGTAACGCTGGTTTTGATAAGTGTCTTACAACTTTATTATATCATCATTATTATTATTAACAGAAAACTACTTTTAAGAACCTTGTAAGAGATTTTAAGGACACAAGTAATGAATGTAATTCAATTTAATTTTAGTTATACAGCGCCAGGTTATCTCAGCGAGGGACCTTTGACACATGATGATCACTATCTGCCTCTCTTATTCCTTGATGATCATTCTTGTCTCTCTAGTGTGATAAACAGAGATCATAGTTTAAGGATTTAAGATTTTGAGGTTACCAAGCTCCTCATTATAGCCGTGATGCATTTGCGATGCAATATGATGACATTACTGACTCATTTTAAAGGATCCTCTTGCACAGACATGTTGAAGTCAAGATGATTGTCGTGAGTCGTGATTGTTGATTTTAGTAGTAAAACATACATTTTCATTGCAGCTTCATTGATAAGTGCAGTTGAATAGTAGAGTAATGCCGCCTTCAGATGGAACTGTGTGACTGTGTTTTTGACATGGGAAGTCAAGTGCATTTGTGTTGGTGCATTTGTGTAGTTCGAGTCGTGAGAACATTGTTTCTAGGTTTCTGACTGGATGTTGCCTTGTTCCCTTTTCAAAGATGGTGAATGATTCTGTGTTTTTTTTTGTTTTTTTGCAATTCACTGTAATGCCAGGAGCAAGAAAATGATATCTTTAATATCAACATCTGAGCTATCACAAAATTTCCACTCATGAAGTTGTGAACACCACACCAATGTGTGGTTAAACGGTCGAAATAATCACCCCAACACAGGTACTCTGTAACAACATAATTACCAGTGATCAAACTTTCGTGTGAAATCAAGGAATGTTATGTGTTAAAAGAAAATGTCATGTTCAGTGTTCAGATTGTTTTTCATGGTGTTTGTATTTTTTTTTTTTTAAACACTTAGGTGAGAGGCCATTCCACTGTACCCAGTGTGGGGCCTCCTTCACCCAGAAGGGAAACCTGCTTCGCCACATCAAACTGCACTCCGGGGAGAAGCCTTTCAAATGTCCCATGTGCAGCTACGCCTGCCGTCGACGCGACGCTCTGAGCGGCCACCTGCGCACACATTCTGGTACCAGCCAGCCACACACTCGCTCATTCAGTCACATGTGAAGCTGATATGCACTGATACTTGATGCACCTGTGTACAGTATCATGTTGGTTGGTTTCTCACTCCTTCATGTTGGTTTCTCACTCCCTTTGAATCTGAACACATGAGGTCTGCTGAGCCTGCATGGCTTTTCCAGTAACACCCTGCCATGCACTCGGTTACACACACTACATGTGACATCTTACTCATTTACCCCTGGAAACTTGCTCATTCACTTTCAGTTCACGTGTTTTACCTGCAGACACGCTGCACATTCTCCAATATGCACATCATCAGTTTTGTATGAAACCACTTAAGGAAATAATACTTGCTGTACCTTTTAGATGTTGTTGATGTTTCATATGTTGATGATTACCTGAAACCTCTGCTCACAGTAGAGAAGCCATTCAAGTGCAACCACTGCAGTCGCAGCTACAAACAGCGCAGCTCGCTCGAAGAGCACAGAGAGCGGTGCCATATGTACATTCAGAGCAAAGGTACCACTGAGAGAGGTGAGCAGACAGTGCACACTCGTCCCTTTCTGATACTCAACATCTTTGTCTTCACAGGACACACTTCACACATGCACATACAACTGGTGTAATGTAATGTAATCAGACCCCCGCACAGTCTACATAAACACATTTGTACATATGCAGCAGGTGCACGATTAAAGCTGTTATTGCTAACGAATCTCGTTTTACAGCCTCATTAAATTAATGAGCTTATGGCTGTTAGCCCATTATTACTGCTAAATAGGTTATGGCTGCTGTGGTGTGTGGTGGCTCAGTGCTGTGAAGACCGCTTCTCATGACTGTAGCGGCAAAGGGGAAGACAAATATGTATGTAGGGCAAATGTTTCAGCCCAGCCACTCGACACACACACAAACACACCCTCTATATCTATAACCTCTCCCCAAAAGTGGCTTTATACACTGACAGGACAGTTGCACGATTGCAACACACAGACAATGCTCTGCTTCTGTGGTCACCGAATGTCGTAAGTTTATGCCTGATAGTGCCGTAGTGGTGAGGAAGTACATCCTCATCCTGTGGTCTCCTCTCCTGCACTGATGAAATAAAAAAGCACCAGGAAGTGAGGTCAAAGGAGCTTCTGATCTCAAATTAATATCTTCTTCCTCCCAGTGTGATTCCGCTTTGAACAGCTGGTGTGTTTAGCAAGATTTTTTTTTACTTCACCTTGTTAACCACAAAAGCGTTGACATGTGGACAGTTGCAGCTCAGTTCACTCCCTTTACTCATGATACTGCTTGATCGAGAAGAGGTCTTCATTTCCTTGTTGCACTTACTCTGTCACTCTCCTGCTGTCAAGCAGAGGACGGCCAGACATCCAGGACACAGATGGGCACTGAGCGTGCTCTGCTTCTCGACAGGCTCGCCAGCAATGTAGCCAAACGGAAGAGCTCAATGCCACAGAAGTTCACCGGTAAGAGCAGCTGAACTCACACCACAGACACGTAGGTGGGGGGTTCAGTAGGGGCACTGACCTCTAAGGAGATGTGTTGAAATTTTAAAGCAGCTTATAGCTTTTAAATAAAATATTATGAATGCCTGCATTTTTTTTGTTATTTGTTTATCTACTTATTTTCTACTTGATATTTCTACATGTTAATGGCCACCTGTTTGATCACTTCTTTATTGTAAAGCTAATGAGCTTGTAATATGCTATAATACGCTGCTGTCTTTTGAAGTGTTTACATCATTTGTGCTTTTTGCTACGCATTGATGCTTTACAATACAGAATTCATGTTTTGCAGAGTATTTTAAGTTGTCTGTCTAAGCTACTTGTTTGCCTGTCTGTCTTTGCTGGCCTTCATCTCTTGCCAAACAGGAATTGAGGGCAGAGCATCTGCCTCATACCTGCACACACCGGAGAATGGTCTCCACTGTCCTAAATTCTCTGCAAGAATTGTGTCATAGGTGGGTATTGGTAACCATGCATGGCAAAATAAATGGAGACATGTTAAAATTAGAAACGTGCACTTGAAGCTTCTCAGTTTAATGACTCACTTTGTATGTTTTGATTTAAACCCAGATAATTTGTGTAGCGTGATGAATGATAAAAAGATATCAGTTTCAGTAAATGGCTGACTTTATGGGCTTACACACACACACACAGTGATTTTCAATAGTCAGCTCCCACCTTTCTGGTTAAGCCTAACTAACATCGGGTTGTAGTTTCATAATCAAGCGTGAAGCTGCTCGCAAAACGAGGGTGTATTGGTAAAAACCCTCCTACAGCTCTCTATCAGGTTGACAAATGAAGTGAGATCTTTCAATATGACAACCACAGTAATGTCTGCAACCGCAGAGAGAGAGAGAGAACAGGCGGGAGGCGTGAAACGTGAGCAGGTGCTTCTCCGTCTATACTTCTGTGGTACAGCTGCACTGGAGGCCTTCATCTTCGTCGTCTGCTTGCTCTCAGCCCTGTCCTCTCATGCCTCCAAGCTTATCTGCTTTCTCAGGATGCTGTGATGCTTTAAAGCTTCTTTTGTCCTGTGAGCTTGGCATGTTCTAATTCACTGTGTGACTTTTCCTTTGTGTTGCCCTGGGGGTGCACATTTTTCTCATTGTCTCTACTCAACACCAAAGTGAGGACTTTGACCCTTAGAGTCTTGTAAAGATCTCTATTAGATCTTTTTCCATCTGTAAGCAATAAGTGCTTGAACTGCTGCTTGCTGCCTGTGGCTCTTTCTCTGGCCATGCTGTTGGAAGTATGTGAAAACCTCCTTTTGCAGAGTCTTGAGTGCTCTTTCTTCTCATGTTGCTGGTCTAGGCGACAATGGTGTCTGCCTGGACCTGAGTTTTAATAGGGAGCTGGTCCACCGAACTGACCTCAAGGACTCTACACCAGGCTCCCCAGGGCCCGATGCCCACCATCAGCAACAACCCATCCTCACAGGGCCAGAAAGCGACCCAGCTCCCTCCCACAGGCCTTACCCCATCCAGTTAGGTCGCAATAACATCAGCCCAATAGGCCTTACCAACGGTCACAAGATGGGCATGCCACTCCTGGGCCTCCCTCACAACACCCAACCACCCCACGGCATGGACTCGTTCCACACTGATGGCTCCCAGATGTCCCAGCCTGTCATGTACAGCTTAGGCCATCTGCTGGGAGGGCTGAACCACCAGAACGGCATGCCTCACCCGCACTCCCAGCCCATCCCCTTGACACCACTGGAGGCTTTACGGGTGCCGCGGGCCGACGGGGAAGCCGGAGCGATGCCCGGGGCGGTGTACCCCTGTGGCCACTGCAGGGTGATCTTCCTGGACTACGTCATGTTTACCATCCACATGGGGTGCCACGGCTTCCGCGACCCGCTCGAGTGCAACGTCTGCGGCCACCGCAGCCGGGACCGTTACGAGTTCTCTTCCCACATAGCTCGCGGCGAGCACCGCCTAGAACTGAAGTAGCTTTCATTCATGCAGATATTCATGCAGACATTCATGCAGACATTCATGCAGACATTCATGCAGACATTCATGCTTACACACACACGCAAGCACGCACAAACACATATGCTCAGACAGATAACACTGCAGGAGCACACACAGATTTACTCATATTAGTAGCTGGTGGTATCAGAAATGAAAGCATGAAGTAGCAGCTATTTCTCTCTGTGTGTTTTTCCTGTGTGTGTGTGTGTGTGAGTGTGAGTGTTTAAGAGAGATAGATTGAGAGAGACGTTATAGGAGTGTGACGAGTGTCAGAGTGTTCTTAGTCATAATGTACTCATCTGAAAAGATGGCCTGTAAAGTTTTTATGCGGGAGTATTTCTACTTCCTTTTGATACATACATTTGTACTTAATGATCCCTCCTCTAGCCGCTGTTTATATCATATATCCATGTATACATTCAAATATTCGGAAAAATGGCAAAAATGAATGCATTGTATATCTACTATTTCTTCCATCTGTGTAAAGGTGTAAAAATAAAAGACAACTTCTTTTTTTTCCTTCATCACACATAGACCTGCACCTTGTTGAGAGACGTTTTGCTTCTCTGAAAAACACTTGCCAATTCAAGACTGCAGAAAAAAATCCTATTATCTAGAAGGTCACATGTCTTCTTTTAGGCTGTGGTTTTGAGTGCAGTTCACTGCTTCAAAGGACATCACTTCGCTCTGCACCACGTGTTGGTTTCTCCCTCCTGAATATTATACTCATTTAGCGCTAGTTAGAAATGGCTCACAGTTTTGCAGAGAGATATATAGAGGTGTATATATAAGGCATAGAAAGTGCAAAGAAGTATATCTAAGATAAAGGGGATGTATGTGAAAGTCTAAGTAAATTAAATGTAAGTTGCTGTTGCTGTAAGTTGCACCTAAAGATTACTCTGAAAGCATGTTAAAGCTGTTACGTTACATTAAATCTGGAATGAAAAGGAGGGGCCTTGATGCCTTTGCAGTTATCTAAATTTTGGTATGATCTGAAATTGATCAAATGAGGGTAAAATGTCAAATGACACTTTTCCTCGTTAATATGATTGTCTCGTGATTTCCTCATGGGATTTAGACATCACTGCTTCTTCCCAGGATGCTGTGGAAATGAATGTCAGGGGATCATAAGTCTCTTCACACCAGGATCCACCTGCAGGGGAAGTGTGGTACTGCGTGACAGTTTGATGTGTTTCCCTTAAGCAGTATTGCAGTGGGTCTCAAAGTGGTGTCTAGGACCCACTGGGGGGTCCTTATAAATGGTGCCAAACTAAATGAAGAATAGCTTAATGTCATACTTATTTCTTTAACTGGAAGAAAGCTCAGTGAGAGCATGTACAAAAATGATTTTAATGAATAGTTTCACTCTTCCCACCTAGTTCTCACCCCACCCACAGAATGAATAGCTATAAATTGTCTGCCAGTAAAACGTCACATATGGGAATTAATCTGTGTGAGGGCAAAATTTAGGTAAAAATTGAGGGTTTGTGGGAACTTTTTGATATGACAAATTTAAGGAACCTCCACTGACAGTGCATCGGGGAAGTTTTGAACACCCAAAATGGGTTCTGACTAGCCACACCAGTTATTATGTCAGTGCATCAGGCTCTGCGTGTACGTGTGAATGTGGATACACTGCACCCACATGTCTGTGCAGTGGCTTGGTCACACCTTGCTGCCTTCAGACCAGAACAGGGTGTTAACTTCATCCAGCTGCCACCACGCTATCTGTCCGCTCCATCAGTGCCAGTTCCCTTTTCTCTCTTTGAGTTTGAAGAGAAGTGACACTTGTAAGGCAAACTGTCATCACAGCTTCATGTCCATATGCCGGATTAAAAGCCTAATCATCCATTTCAAAAGTACAACTGTGGGCTTGTCTTTTTCTACTTAGAGGTTGATTTCAGGGTATTTGGTTTCTGAGTAGTTTGTTGAGTAAGATTGTGTGTTTGCAGAAGTTTAAGGCTAAACCTGAAGTCAGGGTAGTTTGTTGCAATGTAGGAGCAGCTTAATTACACTTGGAGAATATTTTCTGACGCATCACCTCTGATTAGAAATGAACCATGTGTAGAGGAATGGGACTAGTGTCTAGAAAGCCCTGTTTCTGCATAAACTCTGTATGTGTGTGTCTTAAGTCCCATTTCTACCAGAACACCAGCCTGCCAGACAGAGTTTACTCAGCCAGTCGCGACAGTAGTCATAAAGCAACAATGACGCAATTCCAGTCGAAATGAGAGACTTCTGGTGACATCTGCTGACTGAATTATAGAGTAAACTTGACAGCCAAAAAAATATAAATGAAATCCACGGAGATGAGACAGAAATGCACTGTACACTGAGAGCAACAAGGGAATCAAGGAAAGTTTGAGTTTGAGTCATGAAACCTCAGTATGGGTCAGTCAGACAAACGGGAATTTGAATTTCATATCTATTTGCTTTTGATTATTTTGGCTGCAATTACAGAGACTTTAGTCTACTAATAGAGAATGAATGAAATAAAAATGTAGACAACTGCCAATAGGTCATCGTCATCAAAACTTGCACAAAAATGAAATGAATCAGAATCAAGTTGAATCAAATGATATGGCAGGAATATATACACAGGTTTATCATTCACACTGGATGTTTTTCCTCGCAGGTCAGGACATTGGATGGTGAAATAGCTTGCAATTGTGCCGTTATACTGCGGAAACCCTGAAGATGGCGCTGTTGAAACTAAATAGAGAGAGAAACAGGGTGCAGCCAGCGGTTTTGACTGATTGATCCACATGTTTTACTAATCCAATTATAAAACTGTTCATCAGAAGAGCAGCCTTCGGGTAACAATATTCTCGCATTGATAAGAATTTAAAAAATATTATTAGAGCCTTAAAACACGCGGTGAAAAGGGAGAATCGTGTTAAAAGTAACAATAACTTGCCACCTTTGCTGTGACTTTTATTCTGACCCAGAGGAGCAGGTCTGAGCATGCGCACTGCATCGGTTCTATGGGGACGGGAGGACATCACGGAAAAAACGTAGCAGCAGCACCACAAACCCCACGCCGAGATTTCGTCTCTGCGATGCGCTAAAACTGCGCGACTAAAGCGGCCGTCGACTATGCCCCGTGCGGCGTTAAAGTGCGGGACGACCACTTGACAGGCCTGGGCGAGGTCTGAGCGGCTGTCGGGAGGGGAAATACATTATTTCATATGGGAGAAGCATGCGGGAAATGGTCGGAGGTTGCTGCGTGTGTTCAGACGAGCGAGGCTGGGCTGAGAATCCGCTGGTGTACTGTGATGGACACGGCTGCAGCGTCGCCGTTCACCAAGGTAACATTAGCCGCTGTTAGCGTGTAATTACCGGGCAGCTGTGGCCGGAGGCAGCCGGAGGGTGCTGGTAGGTCGGTAGGTTTCCAGGCAGCTCTGTCGCTGTGTACGTGCGTGTTTGTGTGTGTGTGTGTGTGTGTGTGTGTGTGGGAGGGGTAGGTAGGCGTGCTGTTTGTTGTTTCCTCGGCACACATGATTAAACACACAGGGCCAAGCAGGGTGACACCGGGCCGGATGGCGCCTTAATGGCACTTCAGGTCCGTGTGTGTGTGTGTGTGTGACCGTGGGTTTCTGGCCCGGTTCGGTTCACGACATATTGCAAGACGCGTGGGTTTTGCGACAAAACAGCCCCGGCGAGGCCCGCCGGTTTGGACACTGTGTTACCTTGTGTCCACTTGCTTTGTTGCTTTGATACGACTAGCAAAGGTTAAGAGTTTACTTATTATATCGCATTTCTGAGCAAAAATGAACCCTGTGACTGTTTGTTGGAGCAACTCTGGTGGAAAATCTTTGCCTGGCTGACTTCTCTCGCGTCTGCAGGTTGAGCTTTTGAAGTAGAGATGATTTTGTTCCTTGAAGTCAGCAAAAGTGCTGTGAAATGTAATAAAGAGAGATTAGATAGAAGCAGCCACAGCAGATAGAGTTGAGAGCTGTCTTCATAGGGTCAAATTCATTCATATTCAATGTTAAATTAAAACACCAAGTGGATTAAAAATGTCTTCCTGATGGGACAACACTATATAAGAGATAAGTGTGATATCCATTACAGTAGAAAATGGTGAAGATACAAATCTAAAAGAGACTAGGTTAAAGAGACATTTGGCATATATTACCTACATATATATATATGTTATAGTCATGTATATGTTGTAAAATAGCAGAGGTCCATGTATCAAATAACCTGTTCTCTGTGTGTGTGCGTCAGCATGCTATGGCATTGTCCAAGTGCCCACCGGTCCGTGGTTCTGTCGGAAGTGTGAGTCACAGGAGAGGGCGGCGCGCGTGGTGAGTATGAATATCATTGCTGCATCACCATGAATATCCATTCCTGCATCACCAGTTCCAACCAAATGCCACACTCACCACACGCTCTACTCTCTCCTCTCCTGCCCCAGAGGTGTGAGCTGTGTCCCCACAAAGATGGAGCCCTCAAGAGGACAGACAGCGGAGGTAAAATCTCCACCTTCTGTCCATCTCACCCCCCTGCTGTTTCCGCCCGAGTTGCACGGCGAATGCGCGACACAGCGGGACCACAGCCTTGCCTGAAATAGAATAGAAGCAACAGTTTTCCACTTCATTCATAGGGAACCTTATCGTGCCATTGATCCACTGCCAATCTCTCCATCAGGCTGGGCCCACGTTGTGTGTGCGCTGTACATCCCTGAGGTGCAGTTTGCCAACGTCCTCACTATGGAGCCCATCATCCTGCAGTATGTCCCGCATGAGCGATACATCAAGGTACAGACACACATTGTGAAGTGAAAAATTGTTTGTCTACAGCCATGTTTCCCAAACTTAGGGGTCTGGACCCAAAAAGGGTCGCAGTCCCATTTGTGTTGGGTAAAATATATCACAATGTTACAAAATCTAAATATGTGAATGAGCGCTCTTTTTTTGCTACACTTGTCTGTTCGGCTCAGATGCTGTGTGAAGTTTTCTCTTTCTCTCTTCTCTTTAACCTGATCTTCTGTCCACGTTCATACCAAAATTTTCAGGTCTGTAGTCTGTAATCTGTCACTGTCGATCCTATGATGTCCAGACTAAACTACAAGGACGAGTTTATTAGTGCTGGCTTCACCAAAGCAATTCAGAATGGAGAGGAGATGCTTCAATGTGTAATATGTGAAGAGGGTTTTAAAATTAATAAATTGGACAGGCATCTCCAAACGAAACATTTGCTGTGTCTGGGAAAGTCAAAACATTTTTTTTTTTTTTGCACAGAAGAATCCTTCAAGATGTGTTGATTCAATTTCAACATTCTTGTGTGAATCTGGCTTTCCGACTCTGGCACACATTAAAAACAGACTAAATCATCAGCATGACCTCAGAATGGCACTTATTGTTATTAGTACACACACACACGGTCTGAAATACACACATGCAACAACACGAGGAGAGATGTTTGAGCAGTTGGGGTTTAGAGGCCACCATAAGGAGAGGTGCCAGCAGAGAACCAGCTACCAGTCTACACTTCATATGTCTGGTCTGAGCTGGACTCGAACCAGCGACCCTCCAGTTTCCGCACAAGTCCTTACGGACTGAGCTACGGGTGCCCAAGAAAAAAACAACATCTTGGTGTTGGTACTAAGGGATAATGAGAGGGAATAAGAAAATGAGCGTTGAGAAAGGGATGACACAGAAAGGAGAAGAGGCCATTGCTGTTTTTGTTTACTTTAATAAGAAAGTAAATACATTTCAAATACAATTTAAATTTATGGTTTGTTGTGTCCTTTATGCGTAGTTTGTAAATGTAGATTTGTGTCCCAGGGAGACACCAGATTTCTCTTTTGGGTCTTGAGCTGAAAAAGTTTGGGTGGTGTTGTGCTCCATCTCGGAACTTAAATTAAGGATTCACAGTGGGGTTTCTCTTCAGTATTTCTGTATGGGGCCAGAGAGTGGTACCGACATGAATGCGCTGATCTGAAAACCTTCCGTTTCTTTTCCCTCCTGGAGTAGCTGAAACTCACGTGAAAATATCCTTTAATGATAAGGCAACTAAGGCCAGGTATGAAACATCAGTACTTTCCAGCATAATTATATCTGTAGCACAAAACGTCACAAAAATTTACAGAAGATTCATGAAAAGATTCATATTGACTTTTGATGCATCTGGTGTCTAAACCCCAACTGCTCGGGGCGCCGCACTGAGTGGCAGCCCCGTCACTCTGACATCTCTCCTTGTGTTGTTGCATGTGTGTATTTCAGACCGTGTGTGTGTGTACTCGAATTTATTTAGGCAAAGTTCTTCTACAGTTTTTCTTGTTTAAACAACTTGGAAATCATATGCATTACATTTCTGTGGTTTATTTTCTTCTGTGATTTTTCTGTAGAACATATGTTTAGAAGTAAGTAGGGCTGGGCAGTAAAACAATAATGATAATTATTGCAATATCATTTTCCTCAATAACAATATAACAAATGTTCTATAAATGTTTGATTTAATTCTTTTATGTTTTTTATTTTGTTGAGTAAAAGGGACTGGAAAAAGATTTTATTTAATTTATTTATTATTCATGCATATTTGTAGAAAATATTTTATCATAATAGTTTTGAAGGTTTTACCTCAGATTTGTTAAGTGATCCACTGTTTGGCAAGTGTTTGTTTTGGCCATAAAGAAAAGTTTAAAACCACAATCAACAATCTGGTTTCTGCAACTTTCACTCAGGAGCAAAAATCAGCCTTTAAACTTAAAAGAAATAAAGATTTGACATTCACAATTATCGATATACAATGATATGAAATGTTTTATCATGATAACATTTTTGGCCATATTGCCCAGCCCTAAAAGTAAGGAATTGTAAAAAGTATAGTTTTTACATCTGTATTAAAACTTATTAAATATTACATTGGCAGCTGTAAGGAAATGTATGAGGTATCCAGCCCCGTTGGTGTCACACAACTTATTCTAGAGCAATTACAATTATCCTTTGTAGCAATAAATTCTTAACTTAAAGTCAGCTTTAATATGACTTTGTTTTGGACCAGGCTTTTCCCATCAGTGACAACAATCCCGCAGAGAGAAATCAATCATAAAATGAAACGCGGCTTCAGCAAATCTGCAACGTAGCTTTAAGACCTGCGGGAAACAGCACAATTCTTGTTTTCTAAACAGGAAAAACTGTTTTGCTCCACAGTGTCGTTGCGCTCTCCACCTACATGTACCGTACCAAGAGCTGAATGTGGCCTGCTCTCTGGAGGTTTTTGAAAGTCATTCTGGGAAATGTGGGAGATTTCCTGCTGAAGTAGAAATAGATGGGGCAGGTCGAGGCAACAACAAAGTCCATTCACCATAGTTCAACACAAAATACACATTGTTATGCACTGAAGTGTGCTGAAGCAATTAGTTTAAAATAATTTGTCATGCAGAAATTTCATTCAACATTCACTGGTTGCAGTTTCTTCAGTTAGAGGATTTGCTGCACTTCCTGGTTTTTATATCATTAGGAATCAAATCTCTTTGAGTTATAGACTAACAGTTAGAAGATGTCACTTTGGTCTCTGGGAAAACTATGATGGACAATTGTTTTGACATTCTATAGATAAAATAACTGATTTCTTACAAAAATAATAAATAATTATACACTTTTTGAAAAGCACTTTAGTGAGTTTAGCACATAATAACACATTATTTACAAAGCATGAAGAATTAATAAGATCCAACATGGCAGTATCTTCAAGTTTGTTCTTCATGTAATTTACATGTATATATATATAAATAAATGAACACGGGCTAATGACATGTTTACATGTATAATGGTGTCGTGCTGCATACTGACTGCATGTTGTGCACTCATGGTCTTTGTTTTTCATCAAGACCACCTATAGAAAACAGACTGAACATATCTTTCCTCGTATAGACAGTAAAACAAACACTTTAAACCACAGACTAGTTTCTCACCATTACAGCTTTATCATACATCAGCTGTCTGGTAACTTTATCCATTTGTACATTTCTTTTCTTGTCTGTGTAGCCTTTGATAGTTGGCAGTTTGTGTACAGCAGAAGTAGTGAGCAGTGTTTCCAGCATGCGCCGGAGTGGGCCTTTTAACGCAAAGAAATCTATATTTTACACAGGGACTTACATGCTGTGTGTATGTAATGTGTGTGCGCGTGTGTCCGTGCCTGCATATAAATGTACACATGTGAGTGTTTGAGTGCCTGGTTTCATATTACTGCGTCAGCTACAGTAAATTGCATGCAGCTTTCCCCCGTCAGAGCCATTCATCCAGATTTTGCTGCCTGCATTCCTAGACAGCATTACAATGGACAGTGAAAACTTGAGAAGCCACTCTTCTTTTTACACGCTTGGTGTAGTTATGTTTCTGGCCTTTCATTACACGGCAGACATCCTCTTAGGAGAACAGAGAGCAGAGTGGGATGTGAGGAGGAGAGGGAGACAGAGGAAAGGGGAGAGAAAACGGGCGAAACAGAGAGGGCTGATGCGAAAAGGTAAAGAGCCCGCTGTTCCTTTGTCCCGCACCTGTTGCTAGGCCTCTTCTGCCCCCCACCAGTCAGCCCCGCTCGCTGGGGAAAAGCTGGGGAAGAAGTACAAAAGCTCTGTTTTTGTGTGTGTGCGTGTGTTTGTCTGCTTGTGTTGTATGTATTTTGTGGACGTGCGCACATTTACATGTCAGTGAAGACTGACGGCTTCTTTCACTCACGCCACACAAATTATAGCCTTGAGCTCTAAATTCAATTATTTCCAAAATCTTGGCTGCACGTGATAAATGTTGTTTGCTGCATCAATGTGAGTGCCCAGCAATTCATCATGAAACAAAATTTGAGGAAGTGACAAGAAGTGTAGGTGACAAGGAAATGTACAGGGAAGTACATTTTGGATTTTAGTAACATCGAGATATGAAAAACCTTTGAAAACAAATAGCCACAAGCTCCCAAACATCTGGTTAGCAGTTTTGCTGTGCAAAGCAGCACGTGCGGAGTGAACTGTGTTCTGTTTGAAAGCCCCATCTGGTGTCTTGACAAGCAAAACCATTTACAGGATAGCTGCGGCTGGACTCAAATTAAGAAGCATTTTATCTTTCCCGCACTGCACTCACAATGGCTCACTTTAATGGCCAGATAAGTTGAATGTATGAGTTTTCCCTGCTAACACTAATGCAACAGACAAAACAAGACCGCACAAGACTTCAAAACCTTCCACAGCTTTGCACATGAATCTGCATGTTTTGAAACAGCAAGGATTTTGTGTGAACGTACAGGGCAACATAGGACTTGTTGTTGTTTATAATAATAATAATCACTAATATGTCTGTGATATGCCATCATCTCTTGTTCTCTCCCTCTGTGCCGCTTCAACAGACCTGTTATATCTGTGAGGACCACGGGAGGGAGAGCAAGGCTGCCTGCGGAGCCTGTATGAGCTGCAACAGGCAGGGCTGCAGACAAGCTTTCCATGTCACCTGGTAATTATTAAGCTGTGCGTGTGAGTGTGTGTGTATTTTTCTTACAGCGAGCTGGTCGGTAAAAATCAATTAAGACCTTGATTGGCATGAAAGAGCTGCAGCAAAGATCTTGCAGGGATACTTAAGGAAAGGAATTGTTTGATATTACATACTGACATATTATCTGTAGGACAGTGTGTTGTAAATTAGGAAAAGGGGTCAAGAAGTAATCTGATTTTAGGTGCACATAATCGATTTTACTTGTTGGCCAATGCAGTTATCAGAAAGGCCTGTCACAATCCATTGCTGTGTCGGCACAACTTTTCCCACTCTGCCTCCTCATTTCTTTACATTTCATTCCTTTGCCTTGTGCCTTAATTGTGTTTTAGCACAATGCAGAATTTAAAATCAAGCCTGGAAGATTGTATGGGACAGATTTTTGTGTGCAGAGATCTGGCATTTGATCATCCTGTCATGATCAATGACAAAAGCGCTCAGGTGACTCGGGCGCCATCCAGGTGTCATTGTCAGGGTGTGCGTGTGCGTGAGAGCTCTCCTGTTCCCTCTCCTGTCTGACCCTGTGTGACACCCTGTGTTCAGTGCTCAGATGGCAGGTCTGCTGTGTGAGGAGGAAGGCCCAGAAGCTGACAACGTGAAATATTGCGGCTACTGCAAGCATCACTACAACAAAATGGTAAGATGGACTAGAGCCGGGTTAGAGACTGCAAACCAATATTCTAGCACAACACATCACAGAAATAAGGAAATAAAAGAGTTACAAATGTCACCACATGAAAAAAATAGAAGCAGCTACAAATGCACTGTGAAGTGTAGTCTGTGTATTCAGTCTGACATCGTGTTGTGACTTGTGTGTCTGTCCCATCAGAGTCATTTTCATTTGACACAGAAGATGCGGTGGGAATATTCAACCTAAGTCGAAGCCGTTGTTATTATCTCTTTAATATGGTGAATTAAAAGAGCCTGTGCGACGCCGATTTCAGAGTTGCTTGTTGACATTTTTCTAGCTCTGGCACGGGAAGATGATTTCCCCATTCTTAATTCAGCCTACAAAGCTCTGATTGGCTCTGTTGTCTGTTGGGGAAACAGCAGTCACTGAACACAACACCAGACCTGTTTAATTACTGAGATGCAGGCAGCGATGAAAAAGTCACTAAAGGCTGTCTTAGTCTAGCACTAGGGATGCACCGAATGTTCGGCCGCCGAAATTTATCTGCCGAAAATAGTAAAAATAGCACTTTCGCTGTTCTGCTGAATTGCCTCCTAGCACACCCGCTCCATCTGTGGCTGACTGCTTAGAAAAGGCAACAAACGATCTGACCCGCTTTGAGTGTTTCTGTCACTCGTTTGTGAGAAGATGATTAAGCTAGCCGCACCTACAGATGGAGTACACACGTATTTAAGCCTTTATGGTAACTGAAACAGACCAGTGCGAGCTGACAGGCGGGTTAGTGACTTTATCGTGTCATTTTCTCTCTTTACAAAGACAAGTGTTGCAGTATGTCCTACCTGAAGAGAGGCTGTGAAGTCTTCATGTTTTCATACGAGAACCACAAGTAAAAGGACTCATGTAATTTACTTCACTTGACCCTCTCGGGCCTCGGACCCCCCTCCATAATCTCTCTAAATCCTGTGGGGAAACACTGAGGAAAAAGCACATTTTCACTATTTAATCTATGCAATGGGGGAAAAAAGGCAAAATAAATGGAGAAAATGTGCTCATCTGCTCCTTCCCATATTTCCTGTTAATACAAAGCCAGATGAGCTTTGCTTTCCATTTTGATTGCACCTTTTAAGCATTAATTAACATTTATTTGGTCTTGAGACAATCCAACGAAGGTTAAAGTCAAGGGCAACTGGACTTGGTTGATGTGAAGAAGTCTTTTGGATGAGGGACAAAATGTCTTCCAGTATCTTCAACCAAGTGCAGTTGCCCTTGACTTTAACCTTCGTTGGATAACTATGACCTGGATGACTGAGAATCTTCATAGACGTCTTGAGACAATGTTCACTTCTCCTAACTTCTCCTTTGGTTTTTACAGCAGAAGAAGTTGCGCTCCAGTGAAAACACAAGTAGCTCCTTCAGCCATTCCAGGGGGCGCTCCAGCTCTCCATCGCAAGACAAATACCACCACCACAGACAGAGGAAGGTGAGCACCAATGCTGCTGTACGGGCTTGGTCAAATGTACCAAAGGTTGGCATTGCATATCTGGTCAGATTTGTAGTCATGTTTAAATATTCTTTGATCAGAAAGGTTCAGATTTAGATGAAAACTGCCACTGAGGCAAAGTTCTTGTCTGTCTGATTGTGTTAAAACAGTCAGTGTGTGTCTGGTAGGACTTGGCTTGACTCTTAACATACCTGAGCACTGTGTATTCCTGTCTGTTCAGAGTCATAAGGACAAGATTCGGCAAAAAGAGCGCCACAAGAAGTCCTCTGACAGCCTGGGCTCCTCAGTGACCACCAGCAGTATAGAAAAGGTACGAGAAGTCAACCCACTGGGTGACCTGTGAGATGCTGGACACTGTGAGATGGATGTTTAGATCTTAAGAAATAGATCTTAAGAAATCTTGATTGCCACAATACCTTTGTCAGTATTATATAAAGAAACATTTTGACAAGTAATGCCAAACTTCCTTTTGTAATAAACTAAAATTAATCTCGTTGTGACCTGTGTGTTTTGGTACAGATATCTTCCAGTCACCATAGCAGCAAGGACGGTGAGGGAAAGTCCAAGAAGCTGAGCTCACACAGTCACAGTCATCGTAGTAAGAAGACAGGAAGCACTGGCAAGAGCTGCTCCTCCTCCTCCTGCTCCTCCAGTCCATTCAACACAGGTAGAATAAAAGAGGAGCCAGAGTGAAATGTTGACATGGTGTCATAAAGACTGTTGAGTTTATTTGTCGTTGACTACAACTTTGTGTTTCTCTTGGAGGTGGCTCCCTGTCCTCCGCTCAGGATTTCCATCAGTTCTCATCGTCCTCCCGCCTGGAGCGTGACCACGACCGAGGTGGTGACGACCACAGCGGTGAGGAGCGTAAAGAGCGTCACAGGCGGCCGGCAGTCCAGGAGGACGAGGACGAAGAGGACGATGAAAAGGGGGAGGACAAAGATGAGGAGGAGGAAGAGGAGGAGGAGGAGGACAGTAAATACCACAAGCCACCGGCTTTGACTCCTGCCGATGGCCCACTGGCAGGATCACAGGGTCATGACAGGTCGGAGGGCAACTCGAGCCCTTTTGAGAACAAGGTCACTATTTCTACCTTTGGGTCCATCATGCGCATCACTTCCTCGTCAGGGCTGGGCAGCAGCAGCAAGATCCGGAAGATCTCCTCCTCAGGGGACTACAAACCCTCCAAGTCTCTCTGTAAACCCTCTCAACTGAGCACACCGCCTATTCTGGAGGAGGCGGACCTGGAGGACAAAGCCACGCCTCCACCACTGCCCAGAGAGAGGAGGCACCGCGGCAACAAGAAGAGCAGCCACGGTCCGGGGCGACCACGGGGCAGCAAGAACCGAGAGAGGAGGGAGGAGGAGCATCACCACCACCATCACCACACAGCGCTTCCCCCTCCAGCTTTAACCTGTTCGCTGTACCCAAACCCATCCTCCATCCCCCACCCCACCTTCCCCTCCACGCTTCCTCCCACCGCCGTCTCTTCCTCTTCTTCTTCTTCCTCTTCTTCTTTCTCCTCCTCCTCTGCCGGCAGTTTTTCCACAGGCCGTGGCAACTCGCTGCTCGGCTCCGGTGAGTCTAAGTGAGTGGGTGTGTGTGGTAGCCCTCTAGCTTCCTGTGTGTGTGAGCAAGCGGGAGTAAGAAAAAAAACCAGCATCACTATCTGTTTGCACTTTGGTGTGCTCATCTGCAACTTGACTGTAAAGTGTTGAAATGTTTCCATTACACATGTGCCGTGTCAGCGCCACAGCAGCAGCTTCTGTATATCAGGACCTGACAGTGTAGTAGAACAAGCCACTGGAAGTAAAAAGCCAAGCAGGACAAATAAAGATACTATTACACAGCGCTGGTTTTCATACAGTTGGTTTTAAAATTCAGTGTTTTTTAAATCTATCTCACAGTATTTATTTAATCTGTAAGAGGCAGAGATATTGTCCTAGATAGTGGTTTTTGTGTGCGCTGCACATCTCTGAGTGGTAGATTTCCTGCCCTACTTACAGTATCTACTTATTGATTCTCTCGTGTACACGAATGCTTCAGTGTTTGTGCCATTTGGGGTCTTACAGTTACTGAGATGAAAATAATAAATATATATTTTTTACCTAACTTCTGATCTCTCAGGTATCTACTCCAGTCTCAAGGACCCTCTCACGCTGGGCGGGGGTGTCTGCAGTACCCCTCTCTCGCTGGGTGGAGGGGTGTGTAGCACCTCCTTGTCCCTGGGAGGGGGTATGTGTAGCACCCCTCTCTCCTCAGGACTCCTTCCATCCCACGTCTCGTCACTCTCACTTCCGTCAGTCAACGCTGTCTCAAACACACAGGTACGGTCAGCACAAAGGCTTTCTCTGCTATAAAGCACTTACAGTCACACCCAGACTATTTGAACTGTTAACACTGCTGTTGTAGCTTGTTGTTGACTTCTTGGTATAGATTATAGACCTGAAGTGATTAGTCTCCAACTATTTTGACTTGGTAAATAAATTGTTTCAGTTATTTTTCAGTTATTTTGCAGGCAAAACCACCAAACACGTGCAGGGTCCAGTTTATCAAATGTGAGAATTGTACATGTAATGGGCATTTATTTAACTTTGACATTTTATAAATTAAATGACCCACTGAAATTGTATCGACAGACAAATGGATAATGTAATGACACTGATGATAGTTTCAGCCCTGATTATATCATTAAATGGTTTTGTTAGCAAAATGCACTTATTTGATAATATTCTAAGAATTTCAATATTGAATCATATTAAATGATGTTTTCACTCTACGGTTAATGTGGGCAGATGTGGCTTACATGACCAGCAGACTGGTGTTTACGTTGTATGAGTAGAAGGCTTTATTCTTTCCTCTTTTTTTAAACTAACATCCTTTCCAGATTGTCCAGATGATTTGTTTGTCAGCCAGATGTTGATTTTTTTCTGTCTCATAGGTCCATCCAGGTTCCAGCGCCTCCTACAGCCTGACCTCCACTCAGCCTTTCACCAGCTGTCTCTCCACCGCCCCGCCACTGCCGCCACTACTGAGCCAAGCCCAGACCTCACTGCCAGGTGAGAGGAGGACAAAGTGCAGAGATCAATATGATTCATTTGCATTTCAAACTGAAGCTAGTTTCAGATAAGCCTTCACAAGAAACCCTCTTCTGATACAAATATTCTTCCCTTTCTCAGAATCTGACATACTTTAAATCTCTTCATATTGTACCGCCTACAAGTTCATGACTCTTGTTCCCGTTCTCAGAGTCCGACCTCGATGACTGTCGCTTCCCGTGTCAGGGGAACTCACCAAGAGAGAGTCTTTCTTCACAGTATGTCTCATTTCATCTTTTTCTTGTATTTTTGATGTTTAGTCTTGGGACAGAATACATGATTTTTTTCATTCCTCCAGGGCGGCGGAAAATTGAGTGAGTAAGTAGTAAGACAGAGTTTTAGTCATGAGAAGGTCTTGCTATCATCTGTCATCCATCAAATGAAACATCATTGGGATAAATATTTTCCTGTACTGTAGCTGAAGTCTGATATGTTTCTATTTCTGTAACCAGCAACAGAAAACAGCAGGAAACTGCAAAGTGAATTTGAAGAAAATACTAACCACAGCCACAGGGTTGGTGTTTTCCAGCATGGCTGCAGCAGTGACTTCTTTCTGACTCCTTGTTGGTTTTCTCCTCTTTCACACCCAGGTCTCCGATGAGCTGTCTTCCCCTTCTGTTTGACCAGAGAGACGGGTTGGGCGCAGGAGTCCGAACCCGTCCTGAGAACGTCCCTCCAGCCAGCTCCCACATTGAGCTCCTGCTGGAGAAACACGGCAATGGAGAGATGGGAGTGAACAGTAAGTGAGCCTGCAAGAGGACGAACTCCAGTGATTCCATGTGGTTCCGAGATAAAAACTAAGGCTCACGAGATGAGATTTAAACGGAAGCTGCACCCAAAATTCAGTGTATTTTTCTGAGAGGGAGAAATTCCTCTTTGGTTGCGCAGTAAGGATATAAACCTTGGCTGAGGTGTGAATATCTTCATGTTTAAGCTGGAGTGCGGGACTCTAATGGATTACAGTCAAGAAAAGGAAGGGATTGATAGCGAGGGCAAACACAGAAAAACCTTGGTGTAGCTTTTCTCCGCTGGAGAGCGTTTAGAGAAGGGACTGAGGACAGACATGGTGTTGGGGTACTGCTGTTGGACAGCTTGTAAGGTATTTGGAGTAGGCTATGTAGCTATTACATTTACTCTTCCTAAATAATGGATTATTGCCTGGGAAGTGAGCTCCCCTGTAGCCATACGTGAGCATGCGTCAGCGGTGTTTGTGTAATTACTCTCACTGCCAGAATGGGAGACAAAGTTCTGCACTGCAGGGTGAAGGGCTGACAAGGTAAAATGGTTAGGGAACCACTGCATTACACTGTAAAAAAAAAAAAAATACAACAACAAGAAAACATTTGTAATCTGCACATGATATTGTTTACCAGCACTCCGTGTAGTTCTTGCTGTGAGCAGTGATCTGATGTTATTTAGAGATAATTAATATACCTGTGGATGCTGTTATGATAATGTTGAATAGCATCTCTAGCATGTTTGTTTCTCATGTTCCTCCTTTACATTTAATTTCTGTTGAGATCTCTCCAAAGCCAGATGTCTCACTGCCTCTCACTGAATGGCCCTTTTTTTCTCTATCTATTCTTTGCTCTCTCTTCTTTCTCCAACGCTGGGCTTGATTGATTGACGTCTCCCTCATTCTCCTGGAATTTTAGTTTCTAGTGAGGAGTAAATTGAGATTTCAGACTGAAAGTGTAATGTCGCATCACAAAGACTAATATTTCTGTGGGAAAGTACTTTTTGTGTTCCATTGTTAGAATTTAAAAGGCACTATACATTGCATACATATTATACCTACAACTCAAACGCTAAATAATGTAGTCCACAAGGTAGCAGGATGTGGAGTGATTTAGGTCACAGCTGTAGTTTGGTGGCCAAATATAGCTCTGCCCAACATCAACCCAAGCAGGGGCCTAATCAGCCTGAATAATCGCAACTAACTGTGGGAGTAGAGCAGGTCACTGTGTCTACCTTTGGGATAAATATTTCTTTATGTATTAGATTGTTTAAACATAACTAATTGATCCTGATACATACAAGATACAGGGATGTTTATATGTCTTTATACATACTGTTCTCTGCTTAACCTGGATGTCTTATCTCACATCAAGATGAAATGATGACAACAGCTCACCTTGTTTGATATAACGTTTAAATGTCAACGCTATTTCATTATAATTTCAAAACTTTCCCTTTTATTGTTTCACATTTATATTAATTACATAGCAATAATTTGATATTAAGTTTATATTTCAGTACCTGTGTGGCTACAGAAATGTTCCAGTCATCACAGGCTGTTAAAGTTTTTAAAATGCTATACATTTCCAGTGACAAGCTATGTGAAAATTTTGCTCTTGCTTTATTTTGAAAACTGTGACAGTTCAAATTTGTGAGCTCAGCTACGTTTTTGGAACTTTCCCATTGCTGGTGCCAGCTGAACTCGCCTCTACTCGACGCGAGTGACGCCACACGAAACTGCCGTGACGTAATCTTCAACACGACACACACTGCAACCCCCTTCACACATAGGACAACTGAGGATATTGAAGGGATGTAGTTTTTCATTCTCTTTATGTGACTGTTTATCTTTACAGTTACTGTCTCGCAATCTCTGGCTAAGCTATTTAAAGAGGTCATATTATGCTCAAGTTCAAGTTCAAAATCTTATTTAGGGGTTTTACCAGAACAGATAGTTTCATTTCCAAAAAACACCACATTTTTTTTTCATACTGCACATTGCTGCAGCTCCTCTCTTCACGCTGTGTGTGTTGAAGGCTTCGTTTTAGCTATGGCGTGATACATCTTGCCTCTACATGATCTTCACTGGGAGTTGCACATGCGCAGTTCCTAGTTAAGGACTAGTAGCCAATCTCTACATCACAGCAACAACTTTATGTCCATTGACTGTCTGGAGGGTAGCTAGTGTTTGGAAGGGAGAGGAGAGGCAGCCGGCGGACGTCTCGTCACTGTGTGCTGCAGGTCGGTGTGTTTTTCCACCGGAGTTTTTGAGGGCGTGTTGGAATAGCGGCTTGGCTGACCAATCAGTAGTGCACAGTGTTTTTTATGTCAGCTTTTGGTATCACCTCAGGTCTTTTGATACCAAAAAGCTGCAGATACAAGGCAACAGATTTGCCCAAAGTAAAAACAAAAAATGCGAGTTGAGAGGAGTTGAGCTGGGTCCATCCGATAGAAAAAGGACTTCAGTATATATTGACCTTCACTGCCTTCTCATGCTGGTCATTGTGCAACTCATTTGGGCCCTTTGGAAATTCTGTTTCTCTTTGATAACATATGTATCCTCCTTGTCTCTAGTTGTGGAGATGCTCCAGTCCCTCCACTCCTTGCAGCAGGAGAACCAGCGCCTCCAAGACCAGATCCTCAGCCTGACGGCCAAGAAGGAGCGACTGCAGCTGCTGAACACGGAGCTGGCCGTGCCTTTCCCTCCACACATTCTTTCCGCCCACGGCTCAATACACACCTCTGCCCAGATCAACTTCCTGTCATCCACTCAAGGTCAGATTCTTCATATCAAACCTTTAGGACACACTATTATAGTGGGGTCATGTACTTCACTCCCCCTTCACTTTTCATCTGCATTTGTCTTCCCACCTTCATCCCCTCACAACAGTCCACCTGCTTGTAGCATTTTTATCAGTGTATTATTGTCAGGTTAGCTGTGATTCGTTATAGTAAACCTATTAGACTATTGATGAGATGATTGATGGCCTCTGTCCCACGTCAATTGTATTATTAGTTTTATCCTTCTTTCTGCTGACAAAACAACTTACTGTAAACTACAACTGGTTGCTACTGCTTATTCTGTCTGCTCTGGAAGTCGGCACCAGTTTTCTGCTTTTGTTAAGTAAAGCAATATCCCTCAGTGCCATCAACCAGTGCAGCAGATTTCCCATGAAATCATGCACAAAAATGACAGGAGAATGCAGTGTAGAGGCTGCAGGTCTTTTTGGCATTGGCCACGTACACAGAAATGATACAAACAGATGATTTATTTTATTGATGTGAAAAGTGAGTCGCTTTAATATACGTAATGAAAACCATGCTAGTTAGTGTAAACCTTTGATTTTGTAGTTATCTTCCTGTGTCTTTTCCTTAGACCCCATGAGCACCAATAAGAGTCCCTTGTCCAAAAGCTGCTTCCTGAATGACACCTCCTTTGTCACCTCGTCTGAGGTGAGAACCTGTAGACCCTTTCTCACCTTGAACACTCCACACAAACCTGGGTCGACCCATTTCTGCCTTTTGAACCTTTTTGCATCAAGAATAGTGCAATTTTTCATGTCTTTGTTCCAGGAGCTCCACTCTGGTAGTCCGTCCCGCAGTAGCTCCTCCCTCTCCTTCCAGAGTACCCCTCCTCCTCAGCAGAGCCCCGCCTCCTTCGGCCAGCCCCTGCTGAACGGCCTGAGTCGAGGTTTAAGCGATGGTTTGGGGACCATCAGTCAGGCCTGCAGCTCCTCTTTGCCTGTGGTGGGCGGGCTCATGGCATCCCTCGCAGGAAGTCCTCAGCTGAATATGAATGGAGTGCTGGGCAGTCTGAACGGCGTGATCCAGTCTCCTGTGCAGAACGCCCCTCAGCCCGCACTTCCCGCTCTGCGCCCCCAGCCTCCACCGCTCAACCCCCAGGCCCTGGCACAGGGCTTTCAGCTTCCCAAGAGCGTGAGCCCGTATGTACCCAGTCTGTCTTAAAATCAGCTCCACTTTAAAAATGAATTGTTTTGTTTTAAGATTGTTGACATTATGCCAGGCAGCTGGCCGGTATTACTTGAACCCCATGTTAAAAACATGAGGATAAATGTTTTGGTCTCTATAGCTAATTTCCCCATTCATGACAACTGAATGGGGGGGGGGGTATTTTTTTATATAACTCTTCTGTTGAAATTATATGAAGGTGTAATGTTATGCATCATTAAGGGCAGGCCTAGTTGAGTGACAGGTGGGTGCCATCACAGAGGGCTAGCCTCCACCGATGCTCCGCGTCTTTGCTCATTTTTTGATAAACCACAGTCAGGGACTGCCAAGAGGGCAATGGCCAGAACCACCGACATTAACCTTCACTATCGCTCTTCAGAAACCTATGGGTGACGTCACAGAGACTAAGTTCATGTTTTATACAATCTGTGGTTTGGACTGATCAGCCAGAGGGCTGGTGCATTGTCTGGTGTGTTATGTGCGTTGTTGCATGTGTTCCAGGTCTTCTCTCCTGTCCGAGCAGCAGAAGCAGCTTCTTCTGGAGCAGCAGCAACAGCAGCAACTCCAGCAGTTCCTCACCTCACAGAACTTCACTCCTGTAATGACACTCTTTCTAGCACTTCTCATCTGTAGTATTCTTTCCGCAGGGAGACTAAAGTCATCTCATTTACATCTCTGTGGTCATAGTTGATTTACATATTACTCTGGAAGAGTTCACCACGCTCTCAGACACAGGTGCTCATTGGGCATAAACTGTAAATATCCATCAAATTTATTTAATTTAAGAGGGCAGCTTCTACATGTTGTTATGTTGTTTTTCTACACTACTGTGACATTTGTGAAAGTTGTGTCATTTGACTAGTAATGACATCAGTTTTAATGAGCAGAAATAATGTCTTGCTTACAGACTCACCTCCATTGCAAAATATCTCCATTTTTCGTCAGTCATGTCGCATGTTATGTTATCAGCAAGTCAACACAGGTTTGTTTTCGTTGGCCTTAAATGTACAATATATAAAATATAGCCTGAATTTTAGTTTAAAACATTGAGAAAATAAACTAACATTGTTGAAATTAAGTTTTGTTAAGTTAACAGTTCTGACGTCATGTCGAAGACGTCTATGTATGGTGTTTCTGCCCTATCTAACACAGCATGCTAACAAGCTAGCCCTGGCCCATCCTGTCTCGTAATAATCTCTTTGTACCTCAAGCGGCATTAGTCTGCTCGGGTGCTAAAAATTGTCAATTAATTGCAATTACACCTAATTGTGTTAAAGATTGATATGGGGATAACAATATATGTGACTAACTCATGAGTCACAAGCTTTTGAGTCACTATGTGACACCTTTACAACAACAGGAAACCAGCCACCACGATGCTTCATATTTGACTTGCAAAACTGGTAAAAGTCTGGTGGAGTTTTGGAATGAGACACTGTGGGCATCTGGTAAAGATACAACTGACTTCTTGGTGACATTGAGTTTTAAGGTTTATTTGTGATTGTGTGATGCTACATTCAATGCACCAGTGAAATGCACATTTCTCCTTTCCCCCATACAAGAGTTAAATACGGGAGAAAGGTAGATGCATGACCTAAAGACAGTTGCACTTGTTCAACTGCTTTCAGGGCAGCAGAAGCTTTGGACTAGTTATTGTAGGTCTCTCACAAACATGTAACATGTTGAGAAGAAGAAACACTCAGATCCATTTTTTTAAGCTAACCTACAATTTAGCCTCCAATGTTGAAAATAGAAAGGTGTATGATGTCACATTACACTACATATTGAGCTCAGAGCTCAGTCTCTCACACGTCTGCTTGGTAATCTCGATTGTGAGGGCAATTAAAGGAGCTTAAACTGCTACTTAAATGTAAAACCTCTCCCAGTTCACAGGTGTCCTGAACATCCCATAAACTCGCTGTCTTCTACCCCTCCACCAGGAGCAGCAGGTGGTGGTGTGCCAGATGCTGCAGCAGCAGAGACAGAGGGAGCTGCAGCGCCTCACGCTGACAGGAGCACTCACCTCCACCCCAAACTCACCCATGATCGCCCAGTCACCCAGCCTGCTGTCCTCAGCTACAGCCTCCCCCCTGCAGGGCTGCCAGGGAGGCAGCCTCTTTGGCCTGCAGGACAACGCACTTCACAAGCCCGGGGTGAGCAACACTGCTGGGTTCCTCTTAGAGATTGTATTAGTTGCAATGTTGTCAGTTTTAGAAATGTAAGAAACATTGTGTAATTGTGTTTTCAGACTGCAGGAGAAAAGGGTGACAAGAATGGGTGACTTTTCTTGATTACACGGAAGCAGCTCAAATGAAGACATGGGGCATCACGGCCCACTTGAAGAACTGAGGTCAACTTACATGACTTTCCTTCTCTGTCATCTTTATCTTACACCCTCTTTTATGAATGTATAACAGGATGGACTTAAACGTGGAGGTGAAGTTTTTCGTGTTTTGAAATTCTTTGTATCAGAGGTTCTTCTCATAGGTTTTTGTGTAGGCAGCTTTCAGAGAGCATGAATACAGTGGTCTCTTCTTAAATTGCACTAATTTGTTAGCAAGACCAATGGGGCTGCTTATGAAGGCAGAGCCAGAGTTCCTGCTCATCCCTGCAGGGGCTGTCTGTGTAGGCTTTTGGGTTGAAGTGTGAACTCAAGGTCAGAGTGTCGCTTCTCTGATTTCTCAAGCACTGACCGTTCATGATTTCCCTCCATGGCTTAAACCAGAGTTTCCATTCGGTCACTGAGAATCACAGACTTATGCCACTTCTTGCAATCTCACCTGTCTTCCTTGATATTTTGTCTTCCCTTTGTGTTCACCCCACCCAAATTTCATCCAGATCTTCTATATGTCGCAGCCTCTCACATGCACTTATGAAAAGGATAAACATACTGTCATTTTCAGTGTGATGTGTGGTTAGTTGCATTTCAACATTAAGCTAGTTATTACCTCAGATCTTTCCGCCATCTTTTTTCCATTGTTGAAATTTTGTGCTGACTCATTTCACCGCAATAACCTTCACTGGATATAAATGCCCACCAAAAAATCTTGGTGTTAACTCTAAGGTATTAACTCATGTAAATGTAAAATGACACAGACCCCAAGTGTCCAAAATGGCGCTATTGTCCACTAGAGACTGGCATCAGCGTGATCACTGAGCACCAGATTTTATTCAAAACCACCATGAGTTTCTAAAGACTTTTATATCCTTCCAGTTGCTATCGAGATTAAGCAGACAAAACCAAACATTTGGAAATTGTTAAGTAAGAAATTGTTTTTCCTAAACAAGTGTGCACTTTGCATGTTAGTAGCTAACAGAGCAAATTAGACATCTACACAGTACCTTATAAAGGATGTTTGGTACTCACTAGGCCGCTAGGGACTGACAGATTTTTTTCGATTTATGTAAGTATTTTGCACTTGTGTCAGTTTTTTATGTTACTTTCATACATAGATATTCTTTTCACGTTCACCACCTAGTTGTTCTTTTAGCAATACTGGATAGAAAATGCCTTAATGATGCTAGATTTACAGAGGAAACCATGAGCCCAAAGGCTTACTCTCTTGTCGTCTTTCTTTGATAGTGTTTTTTATCTGGGGTACATTGTTAAAGTGAAAGCACTCTTCCTAAACCCATTTATACTTTTGATAGCTAACTGATTTCAAAAGTTGAAATGTGTGAATAACCGTATAGTGGTAACTGAAGTGTCAAATTATTTTGTATTGTAATTTTTGTGTTCAGATGCAATGTTCTTTAGTTGTTTTTGCTTCAGAGAACTGAGAAACAAGGACTTGTCTGAGTAAAGCCTGCACAGTGGTGTCATAGGAGATGGCTGGGGACAGCCAAGATGTAAACTATTATTAAAGTGCTGTCACAGTCTATGATACATAGTGTAGCTGGCATCAGTTGAGCAGATGGTGAATAGCCGATGTTGTTACTGTCGGTCTTTTGCTGCAGAGCTGTCTGAGGCCAACTTAAGCCAACTATGTTAAACGTCTCTTTCCATCCACTCCACTTTATCATATGAGGCCTCTGTTTGGATAACAGAAGGCCAATCACAGAGTAAGTGACTATTTTATTATGTTTTCTCCGGAGTTCTTTAACAATATTGTCACAGGCCTTTTCAAACATTTTCTCACTTCTCTTTGAACATTATCTCCCACACATGTGATATCTCGAGTGCTAGATTGTTTTGTTAGCAGCTAATGTAGACCTCAGAAAGGAACTTCAAGCAGCTCACTAGTTGGTGATAAATACTGTAGCAATGACAGAAGGGGACAGTTGATTATGTTGATGAAGACATGAACCAATGTGTTGACATGGCTCCAAGTGGGAGGTCTGCAATTTACCAAGTATGTCCTTATGTAAGTCCAGACACACAACCATGTCCAAGAGATTGAGTGAGGAGTGGTGCGAAGGATTTCTGAAGCGGTTTCTTTCTCATGTTGCACTGGGGCGCTTTGGGCCCAATTGTAAATTGTTTTTTTTTTGTACCTTTTCAATTTTGTTGGAATATGAGTTGTATACTTTAATATGTTTGTGTAAAAACACATTCATTCTTTTAAGCTTTGAAGTTTGGGTAACCAAGATAATCCATGTTCTGAATGTCGTACTGTGTATCTTTTATGTATTACAACATTTAAGCACCTGGCTCTGAATGAGGCCTGATGGAGAGCGAGTTACTTATCGGGATATGAATTGCATGAAATGCAGTGACATCTCTCAGATGTGTTGCTAAATACCAAGTAATAACTATGCATAATTTTAAATGCATTGTTCCCTGGAAAAAAAAAGAAATTAAATGAAATGAGCACTGAATTTTAAAAAGGACAAGCATGTTGTCATTTGTACAGTGTATTTGTTTGAGAGAATTGAGCAAAACGAATTTGACAATATTCAGATTAAAAGCCCTGTAAAGTATTTTGATATTTTTGTGTGTAAAATTAAAAGGACGGATTAAGAATTTTTTTTGTCAATAAATGTATTTTACTGAGTTGTTTTACATTTTGTCTTGAGGATTGTTTTACTTACTGTCAGTAGTCTGTGTACTCGGAGAGAGGAAGGTGGGAATGAATTCATCTTTTCAGACAAGTGACGTAGCTAACTTTGTCCTGACCAGATCAAATGAAATAGTTTTAAAGAGGTCATATTCAGCTTTTTAGCTTTTTCCCTCTACTTTATTGTTTTATATATCTTTTTGTGCGTGTAACAGGTCTTCAAAATGATAAAGCCCAAAGGCATTTACCATCTCCCACAGGAAAAACACTGCTCCTGAACTTCTGAAAGCAGCTGGATTGTAGTCCAGCGTTTACTTCTGTAACCTATCTGCGTCACTTTGTGTCATAATGCTCGCCTAGTAGCTTGTGTGGCACACCCTCAAAAACACTGGAGGTGCAGCACACACAGTGACAAGGCGTCCACCCGCTGCCTCCCCTCATCTCCACCCTCCCTACAGAATGTAAGCTACCCTCCAGACAGTCAGTGAAGACATAAAGTTGTTACTGTGATGTAGAGACAGTTAAAACTTTACGCATGAAAGATCAATTTGTTACAAATTAATAACCACTTACCACAACTTTTGCTCCAGTCTAGGTTGTAAAGCTGGTTCAGGAACATGTACAGCTGAACCAAAGCCTGGGCGTACCAAAACGTTTATTTCAATTGAAAAGGTGGTGCCTTGAACACAAACGTGCTGATTATTCCTGTTACTTGTCGCAGCTGATTGTGTAACACCTATGTCATGCCTACGAAACTAAGGTATGAGAAGACATACCTTGAAACTCGTTGCACAATGTTGCACACTGTTTTGAGGAAACATTGCAAACCGGTTGAACCCCCCCTGGTCTTGTCAGGACCCGGCCTACTCTACTTCTGATTGGCTAGTAGACCTTAACTATGTACTATGCATGTGCATCTCCCAACAACAACAAATAGAAGTGAGATTCTTCACTATGTAGCTAAAACGGAGCGTAACATGGTGGAAAGAGATGCTGCAGTAATGTGCACTATTACAAAATATGTAAACCTGTTCTGGTACAACCTCTAATTAAAATTATGAACCTGAAATTGAAAATAATGTGACCACTATAACGTAATCCAGTAACTATAATAGGAGCACATATTCTACATTACAGCACTTTAAGAAGTGGATTCTGTCAGACTGTTAAAAACAGGCCGCAGTATTTTTGTTGCCATGTGCTGTGCTTGCAACACTGGAACTGATCTTTGAGTACCTGAATGTAGGATTTTAAACCATTTTTAAAATAAATCATAAAATAAAGAGAAAATAATTTAGAATAAAAGTCTCTTTTAAGGTCACTTATACAGTAATGTGCCAAAGTTGGTTGGCTGGTGTGGAAAACGCTGTAAAGTAAAAATGGACATGTTAGTAGATTATATTTATCAATTACCAAATGCAATGTGAGTGAAAAGAAGAAAAATCTAAATCAAATCAATATTTGGTTTGACCCTTTGCCTTCAAAACAGCATCAGCTCTTGTATAGGTACACTTGCAGATAGTTTTTGAAGGAACTCGGCAGGTAGGATGACCACAACATCTTGGACAACTCCCCACAGTGCTTCTGTGGATTTAGGCAGCCTCACTTGCTTCTCTGTCTTCATGTAATTCCAGACAGACTAGATGATGTTGAGATCAGGTCTCTGTGAGGGCCATACCATCACTTCGAGGACTCCTTGTTCTTCTTTACGCTGAAGATAGTACTTAATGATGGTATTGCATGATGGATAAGTTTCTGCCTGTACTTGTTTACCGTTTTGTACATCAACGCACTGAATGAAACAATATAGAGATTATTTTCTAATCAACAGTGGTTTATATGGTTGAAAGCAGGTCCAAAGGGTATGCACTTTATTGGTCAATTGTCGCCATTAGTAAGGGCAACTTTTGGGTTGCCAGGTTATGAAAAAACCCTTTGCCTGGTGTTAATCCTCATAGGACAACTTCCAAGTAAAGTACGTTTTAGAAATGCTTCATAAGTTGCAACTAATTGTTTTATCAGCATTTAAATAGAGCATTCATTAAACCCGTGGACATAAATGATTTAGCAACATTTATAACTTTATTATCAAATAGAACCCAAAAGTAACTTGGAGGGGAAGAGGAGGAGTGGTTTGGTAGAAATGATGAAGGAGTGGCTTCAGCACGCGAGCTGGTGTGTTTACTTTAGGTGTCGCAGTAAAGAGGCCATGTTGTAATATTGGCCGGGGTCCTACAAGGCTCCTGAGGACGCTGCAAAGACCAAAGGGTTCCCCACCGAGTGTTGTAGTAGCAATATTACGCCTTCGTCCGCTTGAACAAAATGAACACAGCCAGCTTTATATCCGCAGTGCGGAGAGGATGCGCGCAGACCAGACGTCCTCAAATACCTTTTTCCTCTTCGATGGTGAGCCTTCAACATATAGCCACTAAACATGTAATTGTGTTTATTCTGTGTGCTGAGTCAAGACAAGAAATCTACGGTGTACCGGTATTTTCTGCTGGTTTTTTAACTCTGCCCGAACAAAACCTGACATAACCTCCTTTAATCACCTTTGGCGCTGATGCGTTTTTGCAAATAAGCATGCAGGGGCAGTAGAGGACAGTATAGGGCCTGGCCACGATCCGCAGATTCATAACATATAGGCTCTATATGTCTATTCTGCCATTGTTTATGGTGGTCAGCTGGTGTTATGAATGCATTTTTGTATAAATATATTTTTTTAAATATCAAAACTGATTTCAAAAAATATATGTCTGCTCACAATATATTCCTGATGTTGTCTGCAGCTATCACCCAGCGCTCTGTGAGATGATTCATTTTGTCTGCAGGTTCAGTGCTGCCTGCAGTCCACGCAGCCTGTCCCTGCAGCCCGGCTGCCCTACAGAGTGAAGGTGTCTGCTGGGAAACGCTACGCATGGTGTGCTTGTGGACACAGTAAAAAACAGGTGTGCACGGCATGCGATCAACTTTCAGAGGTACCTGGGCTAAAAGTCAGGTTGTTTAAAGTCACAGCTCATTTTCAGTGGCGCCCCCAGAAAATTTTCCTAGGGGTGGCCAGATGGGGCCACTGGAAAACCTGGGGTGGCACCCTAAACCAAAAGTCACAACTGAATTTCAGGAATTCTATTATGCAGTATATAGACTAATGATAAAACTATGTTAAAATATGAGTTATGGAATCAGACTAATATACTTTGGTTTCTTCGAATACACTACTTGACCTTTTCCTTAAAAGAACAACTCCAGCTTTTGTAGGAGTGCACTGATTGCAAAGCCTACTTAAGATTACAGACATCACCGAGCATAAATATTTTTCTTTCATATTAGACTATATAGTTATTTAACGGAAATGTACAATATGTGTCTGTACAGTTGTGTAATTACTTTTAAACCATACTGTTCTATAAAAATGGTTTCTAAACATAAATGCCAGTAAAACTACAATACTCTCTCTTGCTACTGTGTTTTTAATGTAAACAAACAGCATGACTCCACTGAGAGCGAGAGTGTTAGAGAGAGCGACGAGTGCATTGACACAAGTTACAGTACCGCTGTCATAAACCTAGATTAAGAATGCAATATTTAAGCCAAAACAACCAAGCTCAGAACAAATGAGCCTACAGGGCCACAAGCAAACAGCAGTGAGCTCAACACCACTGAAGTCAACAACGACGCGCACAGACAACGTTTTAGGGATCCAGACCCTTTCTATATCGCTTTCCACAGAGATCCTGCAGTCGAAACGGAAAGAATGTCCACCAATATATATCCCATTCCCAGCTCCATACCTTTCATACAGCAGGGACCTGGCAACGACATGCAACATGAAAGCGGCTATATAACGACAACATCATGACGACAACCGCAATCCATAGCCTAGTATCAATCGATCCAGCACAACAATTTGGCCCATGCACAGACCAGCAGCACAGAGTCAGGATGATAAAAGATTCTTTCACTCACCAGAGCTGAGGGCTCACGTGAGGAGAAAGGCGGCGGCACGGCGGTTTTTCCTCTGGGCAAACTTCTGGATGACTGAAGTTTTTCAGAGAGTCTCCCGACTTGTTGCGGCCCCAGAGTGCTGTTTAACATTTTCTTCGGAGTTTAATAAACAATATGATCCCACTGTCACTGAGCTCATAGCTGTTTTCCTCCACCTGTTTGTTATGCTGCTCAATGGCTCGCCTGTGTTGGCCAGTGAACGTTAAGCCCAGTTTCACAGCATCGTCCAGATGACTCCCGCTGTTGTCATGTTTTGCAATCCTCTCAGAAAGGTGAAGATGAAAACAGTCACAGGATGGATCTCCCTCAAAGCCAAAGGTGCTTATCAGGTCACGCACGGCACTGTTAGTGGGACAGTGTCCGTTTGACGTTAGCTTGCTGTAAGCAATGGTGCTAACCTGTTGCTATCTGCAGTCTCGTATAGCTCTTACACACAGTACAGTATACAAAACTTTGTAGCAGTGTATCAAACATATTATTAAAGTTGCCAGGCTACTGACAATATACACTCACCTAAAGGATTATTAGGAACACCACACTAATACTGTGTTTGACCCCCTTTCGCCTTCAGAACTGCCTTAATTCTACGTGGCATTGATTCAACAAGGTGCTGAAAGCATTCTTTAGAAATGTTGGCCCATATTGATGGATAGCATCTGGCAGTTGATGGAGATTTGTGGGATGCACATCCAGGGCACGAAGCTCCCGTTCCACCACATCCCAAAGATGCTCTATTGGGTTGAGATCTGGTGACTGTGGGGGCCATTTTAGTACAGTGAACTCACTGTCATGTTCAAGAAACCAATTTGAAATGATTGGAGCTTTGTGACACGGTGCATTATCCTGCTGGAAGTAGCCATCAGAGGATGGGTACATGGTGGCCATAAAGGGATGGACATGGTCAGAAACAATGCTCAGGTAGGCCGTGGCATTTAAACCATGCCCAATTGGCACTAAGGGGCCTAAAGTGTGCCAAGAAAACATCCCCCACACCATTACACCACCACCACCAGCCTGCACAGTGGTAACAAGGCATGATGGATCCATGTTCTCATTCTGTTTACGCCAAATTCTGACTCTACCATCTGAATGTCTCAACAGAAATCGAGACTCATCAGACCAGGCAACATTTTTCCAGTCTTCAACTGTCCAATTTTGGTGAGCTCTTGCAAATTGTAGCCTCTTTTTTCCTATTTGTAGTGGAGATGAGTGGTACCCGGTGGGGTCTTCTGCTGTTGTAGCCCATCCGCCTCAAGGTCGTTGTGGCTTCACAAATGCTTTGCCGCATACCTCGGTTGTAACGAGTGGTTATTTCAGTCAAAGTTGCTCTTCTATCAGCTTGAATCGGTCGGCCCATTCTCCTCTGACCTCTAGCATCAACGAGGCATTTTCGCCCACAGGACTGCCGCATACTGGATGTTTTTCCCTTTTCACACCATTCTTTGTAAACCCTAGAAATGGTTGTGCGTGAAAATCCCAGTAACTGAGCAGATTGTGAAATACTCAGACCGGCCCGTCTGGCACCAACAACCATGCCACGCTCAAAATTGCTTAAATCACCTTTCTTTCCCATTCTGACATTCAGTTTGGAGTTCAGGAGATTGTCTTGACAAGGACCACACCCCTAAATGCATTGAAGCAACTGCCATGTGATTGGTTGATCAGATAATTGCATTAATAAGAAATTGAACAGGTGTTCCTAATAATCCTTTAGGTGAGTGTATATACTGTCTATATATTAATTACTGGGGTGCCCAAATCCCCCCCCCCCCCTTCCCTCCTTTCCCCCCTGGCAGCGCCATTGTTCATTTTACTGCTGTCTGTGTCCAGCAGTTGGAAAGTTGCCTTCTAAGAGGTGGAGATGGGAGACTTTGTACTTCTTCTTGTGAGTAACAGTAAAGAACAACAACAAAGTGACCACTGAGCAATATTGACAGACAACAAGGTTGCCATAAGCTTTTTTTTATGAAAGATTTTTGGATCTGCAAAGGAAACTCACAGGCGTGGTCAGTCACGTCAACAATGGCTCTGTTTTATTTACTTGTCTCAGCATGCAACAGTAGTAAGTCGGAATTCACCGCCCTGAAACGGACACACCCGAAATTCATGTTAATGATTACACCTGTGCTTTTCTTGCTATGTCAAAATGTCTGCTGTAAAAAAGAACTATCTCTGCAGTAGATTTGATCAAAATCTAGACAGTTTGCCAGTTACTGCCATTACCGTACATGCCCTATAGAGGCAACATGAATCATTGCTAATCTTGAATTGATCGTGTGCTGAAATAACTTGTGAGCACTGAACACAATCACCTGGTGCAATATATGCAGGCAGGTACGTTAGCTGGACAAACTTAACACACATTGCTTCTCAAATAAACAATTCTGATGCCAGAGGTTAATAAATGCAAACATGGAAATGCGCCAATATGTCAATGAGGATGGGAAACTCGTCACAGCTGCGTTTTATTCATTTTTAGGCTGGAAAGATGGGCATGGTTTGCAAAGTTCCTGCCCAGTTTGCTTTAAAAGTGGGAATTTTAAAATAGTTTTCCACCACTAAGGGTTAGTGTTAACATCACAATAGCATAAACACTTAAATTGTTTTGTTTTAAATTCAAATATGTGAAGACCATTTTCGACATAAATTTTTCAACATGATATATTAAAATTTCTACTCAGTTGTTTTTTTTCTGATGTAGCATGTTAAAGAGTGGTGTGTAGAGAATGTAAGAAATAAGTAAATTATTAATAAAGTCTACAGTCTAACCCAGTTCAAATTATGTGTTTCCTGTTGTCTGCTTGGGGATATAAAATAACATCTGAATAATCCAACGAGTAATCAAGAAATAATCTAAAAAGCTGAATGTGAATTGAAGATGATTTTACCGGCTGTGTCATCACACCTGTTTTCTCTCTCTCTCAGCCTTTCTGTGATGGGGCTCACAGGACAAAAGCTCCGGGCATCTCTCCTCTACACTTCACCCCTGACAAAGACAGGAAGTTCATGCTGTGTGCCTGTAAGCAAACCAGAAACGCACCGTACTGTGACGGCTCACACTTCCGGGTCATCTTCCGGGATTTGGTGAAGTCGGTGAAAGGCATCTTTAAATGAATAGTTCATCTCAACCAAAGTACGCCTGCTGTGGAGATCATCAGTAACAGTATTCATTTGATAATGCATCTGGGTTGAACTCATTACATTTTGACATTTATGGCGGTTTGCCTTTTGTTGGGAAAATGTGATGCCCTGCATCGTGTTATCCTCTTCATACTTGTCAGACTGACATTTTGGCTGTATAAATGAAGTGATTCATGATGAAGTATATATGTTTTGTAGCCTATGTTGCATATATATGCATATAAAAATGCGTAATCCAATAAAAATACTTAACAAAACAAATATGTTGCATTGGAAATGTGAATTTCAACTAGAGCAAGCGATTGTTAACAATGTGGCTTGTGCCAAAGCAGAGCAGCAACAGTTGCTATTAAATATAGATTTTTATTTATTGATTTAAAAATATGTCCCAGAGTTTCTCTCCATGATGATCAAAGGACTGCGGTCTCTCTAAAATGTGTATAATTGTTGCATTTATTCATGTGTTTGTGCATGTGTGTGTAATACTAAACATTAACAACAGAGTGAAAAAAAACATTGAATCCCCCCTTGCAGGATTAATAAAGCATGTCTTCTTCTTCTGTATTGCCTGGTCTTGAAGATCCTCATCCTACAGTTGTTGACATGGGACATCAAATCAGCGGCTGACCGATATCTGCCTCCTGATTGGTTCAGCTTGTATCGCGTGACTCTACAGGAAGAGATTTCTACAATCAGTCAGCTGTAGGCTGCTAAATCTGAGCGGTCCGCCAAAATGTGTTTCTGAACACCCTTTGAGCCGATAAATCAGCCGTCCAGATGCTGAATCTTCACTCATATTAGGTCTATAAGGTCTAATTAAAAATGTTTCGCAGTCAAGGGCACTAACGTTGCTGCACTGACCGTAAGGTTAGAGAAATTTCCCAGAGGTTATTAGCGAGTTAGCTAAGGTACGTGGTGCTCGTTAGCCGCCAGCTTCTAGCTTTCCTGCAAGTTAGTTAGTAGATGGTTATTTAGTTATGCTAGCTGATGACTGACTGCATGTTTTGCTTTATTATAATCAGATATTAATGAATGAATTGTTATTATTGTACATCCTCCTCCGACCAGCTGGGGGCGATAATACCTGCATGGGGCGCCTGAGGAGAGAGGTCTGAGGCACAGAGGGGCTAACTCTTAAATCCATCTGTTTTATTTCATGTATTTTGTATTAGCTGGGACCTAATTGAGACTTGGTGGCTTGCAGAATCACGTCGCGGTTGATTGACCTGCGCGCGACTTGAGCAGCTGCAGCTTAAGTCAGCTGTGACTGGAAACATGAACACGTTGGTGACCAAATTAGACCACAAATGGATTAGTCTAACCTTGAGACAACCTTGGATAACGGCAGCTTCCAAGGTAAATTAAGTCATTATATATTAGCCCCTGCCTGTAAATATGGAAGCGTTAGGCGTAACGTTACTCTTCTGAACTAGCTGGGCTGTTAAAATGATTTATCACATTGTTGGTTTCCCTTTATTTTTCGACCGACTTAACTGTAACTGGTAGAATTTTGAGGTTAGTGGTACTTTGACGTTCAAGACTTAATTTTTACAACACATTGCAGACAGAAACACTACTTCCCAACCTTTCATCTAACTTTTCTTTGCACATGAAATACTTGATAGCCACCTAACATTAGACTAGAGTATACAGAAGTAGTAGTGCCATCTACTTCCTATCATCCAAGCCCCTGCACAGCCTCCCACATACTGGAGCTGTTTTTGATCATAGCCGGATTAGACTTTTCCTCAGGACAGTCTGGGCCCGGTTGACCTCACTCATGTTAATTTTGATGCACTTGGGAAGAGTTAAAACTACAGCTTTGACTCTCTAAAACATATGGAGTTTGGTGACCAGCAAATATTTCAGCAGCGCTCAGTCCATCTTCACTGTGAAAAGAGGTCATAAGAGACAAAATGGCTTAATACACCTGGGTGGGTTGACCAGGCCTTTGTTAAAATACTACAAGGCTGTCACCGTGGAGTCCTGAGAAGATGACTAAATCAAGCAAAATAAGTGAACACCTGTGAAAGTGTACCATGTACGGGCTTTAAACGACTAATATGAAATTATTCAACTCTGGCCATGACTCAAAGAGTACTTTTGAAAATTAAGTATATATTTTTATGTATTTACTTTTGCTTTTACTTGTAGCTACAGTAGAGTATTTGTACCTTTTTTCTAATAGTATTACAACTTATCTTAAAAAATAAACAGTGCATACACTTATGTACCTCTGTCCACAGGTCCAGCTCTCCACACTTCCTCCAGAACCTGTCATCCCCTCTAAGAAGCCTTTCAAAGTGGAGCTGGTTGGTGGAAAGCGTTACTCATGGTGCACCTGTGGACACAGCAAGAAACAGGTGAAACCACCGTCGACGTCATCTTGTATCACTCAAGTACGCGTCCGGTATATTCCCTGATCACATCTTTATCTTTCAGCCTCTCTGTGACGGAGCCCATAAAACCAAAGCCCAAGGCCGGTCCCCGCTACGCTTTGTCCCTGAGAAAGACACCACAGCTTGGTTGTGTGGTTGCAAGTACACAAACAACCCACCTTACTGTGATGGCACGCACAAGCAGGACTTCATCGTATCCGCCCCGCTGCATGAACAAACCGACTCTTGAAAAAGAAGTGGGAGATGTCTTTGAACAGAGCATAATGTTGCCGTTGCATTGAAAGATGCTGTAGCTTGAAAGAGAAGGGAGTGGCGATGGAAAGGTTAACGCCACAACCCTCGACTTCATTTGTCCTTCCTTTGGGTCTTTTATAAAGGAGAGATCATGTTGCATTCACAACAGGGTTGGACGATATGATGATACACTGTGATATAATACAGGTTTGAGCATAGGTGTCATTTACACTGGGGATGCTGGGGACATGTTGTTTTTTTTTAAAGCAGTTCTGAAAAATTGCTTGCAACAAGAAATGTTCATTAACAAATTAAAATGCTAGAAGGAAAGGTTTATTTGCACAACAAGAATTGAAGATGAATTGCATTGCAATGTAAATATAGAGAATATAGAAAAGTTACGTAAGCTTGCTGCATTATATTCCAGTATATATTTATATTTTAAATTGTCACCTGCAACTGGAATTTTGTGTTTTCCTCTATATAAATACATTTCCACCAAAAATTGGTGCAGAAAATGTCTCCAGAATGCAGGAAATCAAGTGTTTAATGCTCACAATCTTCTGGGGAAGGACCCCCAATTGTATATTTCATCAATGAATATTTCTTCTAAATAGTTTTAAAATATCTTCTTGTCTTGTTCTCATGACCCCAAAATTGTGCATCATCACATGATGGCTTCATCATGGCTTAAGTGTTTTGTCAAACCCCTATTCTGAGCCCTTAAATGTCCCCACCACTTTTCAACACAAAATGATGCCCTTGGGTTTGAGCACCGCTGGAGAGTTTACCATGTAAAAAAACAGTACTGGAAGTCCATAGAAAAAGAATGTTAAAGTTGGGATGTAACAGTATTATGGTTAAGATATTGAAGACCTAGAGAGAGAAAAGACGAGAGAAAACTGGAGGTATTTTGGAGAAAAACATTTTTTTAACTATCATGTCAACCAGGGCTGGCCCGGGCTTTTATGGATCCCTAGGGAGGATCTAAAGAGAATTGCGCTCCAACCTTACATGTTATCCACCGGATGGCTTTTTACATGAGCTACTGATACTTTGCTGTACAAGTACACAGAGAAGTCTAACTCATGTAGACATACATTTATATTTATATATCATTCATACCTTGCACTTTGCATAATGTATCATTTTATTTCATTACTGTCATCACTTCTGTTTAGATGCTTTGTACCAGTGACATGCGCAATGACATGCGCAATGACAATAAAGTTGAATCTAATCTATTTTTATGCTTACCAAGAGATTTTTCACTATATACCGTCATTGCAGCAACAGCATTGATCATAAGCCAGTACGCCACAAAGGTTGGGAACCAGCGATATGTATCATGGTAATGAGCCCGTCTAGTCTCGTTACTCTAACTTCTGTTTGGTTTCAGTTTATTATGTACAATCTCTGACATTTGTGGTTTGATATCTAAATATGACATCTGAAAAGAAGAACACATTTAAAACTTTGCTTGTTCTTAATCCCAAGATGATGGTGTGATCGTGACACTTTGATGTCATTCCATCACACTTTGCGCGATCGCTGCGTGTAAAAAAGTAAATTCAAAATGCACAGACAAAAAATAACAACATTAATAACTGTAAACATTGCAAAAAGTACCCTGAATTATTTAACACATTAAAAGTGTTTAAATCTTTGACAGAACTGCCTGATTTCCGGTTCACTTTCATATAACACAGAATGCTAAAGTGATTAAAATGTTGAGCAAAGCTTTGTGTGTTTGACTCTCATTTCCACCACACGCACAACAGCATGCTTCACAACCAATTAAGTTCAGGGAATCATAAACAGGTGACTCAAGTCAGAAAAACCTAGTAAGTAAACATTTTATTGACCTAAAACATGCACATATGGCTGATAAAAAATTATCATCGTTTGTTTAAAAGAAACAAAAGGAATGTTGAAATTCATGGAACTACAACATAACATGGTCAAATATTCAAATCCCTTTTGAGTTCTTCGACTGCCATGAGAGAAAGAACACGGTCTGCAGACAAACAACTGCTTGCGAGCATGGTAGTGCTTGGAAATGTGTAAATAGAAATGCTTCTCCTGTTGGAAAATACTTGTTGGTTTGGATTGTGTAATCTGACTTTAACAAAGTGCATCAACAGTTATATGTAAGGTACCTGTACTGATGGCTGATGAGCGGTTGCTTATACTGGACACTTATACAGCAGTTATTAACGTGACTGTTCAAAGGCAAGGATTAGCTTTTTATTAATTAACTTTTTTTACAACAACTCCCACAGTGCTGCAATGCCTTTCAGCGTTTTGTCTCAAGTTTTATGGAGCCAAATGAATGCTGATGGAACTACGGAAATGAAACAGACCCACTGCATATACAATACAAAACGATTACAATATCTTGTATAAAAGATAAGTTTATACATATGTATGCACACATGCTCACATTTGATACATACTGTACAGTTTTGTATGTGTGCACTGTTCTAGTCTAACACACATAAACACACGCGCGCACATACATACATACAAGTGTCTATTTGGCTGCACTTTTCAGTCTTTCCTGCTGAAAGAGTAACATTAATCAGCCTCCCATGTGTCCAGAAGGAAGAAGGCGCAAACTCGTCTTTTTGCTCTGTAGAAAGAAAGAAGGGAGCAATTTCCAACACTGTCCTCCCTTGCTGCCCTGTATACACGTTAGGTCGTCGGAGGCAAACCACTTTTGTCGCCTCCCCTCGCCTCCTCCTTGCCGGCCCCAGAGCTCGTGCCATTGACAGTCACCTTCCGAGCGTTGGCGCCCTGTTTGGAGGCGAGAGTGTGTCGCTGAGTGTTGTTCGGCACAGTGGTACCGTTGGAGCTTTGGATGGCGGGGGAGGGGTTGTGGGGCGCAGGGCTGGACTGCGAGGAGGCTCGGGGCGGCTGGGCTGCAGCAGGACTGTGGACTTTGTCGCTCTGGGAGTCGCTCTCTGACGTCGGACTGGTGTTGATGCCGTCGGAGTGTCCCTGGGCGGCAGACTGGGACGGCCTCCTGCGCTTCCGGGTGGGCTTGACCAGATACTGCAGGGGGATGGGTCCAGTCTGCACAGAGGTACACATATCATTAAGGCTGTGGATAGGAGCTCAGGTTTTAAAATTCATCAATATGTGGGAGCGTTTACAAGCAGGACTGTACAAGTTAAATGATAAGACTGAAACGTTTTCTTATTGTCAACAAAGACCAGATCCATCGATGAATAGATCCTACTAAAGTGATGCATCTCATTCCTCTGAGCTCCTTCCAAAAACTATTACAAACAAATGTTCCTTCATTACCATAAACACGGGCACTGTCATTTGTTTCCCCACATACACTGCCCTGCTATTCACTTCACCAAGTGCACATTAATCCAGCGCAGAAAATAGTTCCCAACAAATGCGTTACATGCTCCAGTTTGAGTAACGTTTGCTAAAAACTACAGTGCCCAGCAAATTACTGAGCCTTTTTTAAATGAAACTATTTGTGACCAGTTTTTAAAGTAAATGATTTGTACTTGTTTAGCGCCTATCCAACCACTCAAAGTGCTTTACACTACTCACATTCACCCCTCGCACATGCATTCATACAAAATGGAGAGAGGCTAAGGAGCCATCAGAAACAGATACACACATTCATAAGCAATCTTGCCCAAGGATATTTCGACATGCAAACTGCATGCATATATTCGCCAGCCTTTTAAAATACCCTAGTCCATATATTACAGTCCTTCCTGTTACCAAAGCATTATTGAGGGAGAGGGAGGTTGAGGATAGCCGCAGCTGCTCACTTCACGTCCCATTTTATGACATCAATCTCAGTTAAATCATCTCACAAAAGAGGATTATCAGCTCACTCTGCCCACCCAGGATATTCCTAACTAGCAACAAGCACGTCCACATAAAAAGGGAGTTTTCAGCAAATATATAACTCTGGAGCTACATACTTTACATACTTTTTGTTGGAAGATCAGACCAGTCTAAAAACTTATTCAGCATTCACAAGCTATGTTGGGAGTAAACCAACCTCAGCAAGACAAACTGCAATCAGACAGACATCAGTGAAAATTAGGGATCATGGGTCCTTTCTTGCACTAAAAAAAAAGTTGCTATTTGGCTGCTGACTCTGGGAATCGCAGCTTCCTACAAAACCTTTTAAGGGACCAAACATTGACGCTAAGGACTTCAACACCAAGCATCAGCTCCTATTGGCTGCCTGTTATGCAATCAACCTAAATACATATATAGCATGTGCAAGAAAACCGTCAGCAGTAATGTCAATTTGTTGTATGTGAAAGTGAAACACCGCAAAGAGGGGAAGAATCAGGGAGCGTTTCTCTTGTCCTACCGATACACTGAAACAGCTTTTTATTAGGTTTTCTGATTTCTTGTTCAGTGTTTTAGTTCATATGTTTTTCAGTAAAATCCACTGGATCCTGTATTAATGGGAGTGCCATCTTTTCTGGCAGCTGAATAGTCCAGAGACAGACTTTATAATTAGGATTAAATAACCTGAACATGACTGCACACTAGGTAAACTTAAAAAAAAAAAAAAAAAGATATCAAACTAACTGTCATGTAGCTCCATTACTGATCTCCCTCTCAGATCTTTCACAGCATTGTTACTTTTCCCATTTCAAGGCAAGCTAAGACTGATTCCTCTTCCCATTTGAATGGAACCGAAATGAAAGCTACAGGAGACACAAGAGTGATGATCACAGTTCTTGTTTGGTAAATATTTGTCATCCACAGTTAAAAAAAACAAACAAACAAAAAAAAGGTATGAAAGCTGTCACTCACTCGTCTCCACTCATAAAAGTAGGCGATATCCATTAGTGTGTAGTAGTCCTTCAAGGGCTCGTCTCCGTACAACACCTCCACCTGTAACGTACAGTCAAAAACCAGTTAACACAGTGTGACCAGCAGAAAACAGCCGTCTGCCAGATATTCACTTTAACATGTTTAGATGTCTTCCTTTGGAGGTTTAGATCTATTCTGCAGCAATTTGTCTTGATGGGTGGTAATGCATAAAATCAACTCAACCAGTTGATGCATTTCAGTAGCCTACCAGTGGCTGAAGAAAAAAAAAATAGCCTTTATGGAATGTATTTACATTTTGGTCCCAATTTAAAGCTTCCATTGACTACAACTTTCATCATCATGGACCATTATCCCAGTTTTACTTGAATAATGACTCAATATCAGGAAAGGTCCTGCTTCTGCTGAAGTCATACGCTGCTTCCAGGCAAACTTTTGTTTCACTGACCCCAATTACTTCTGCACAACAGTTGAAAGGCTAAAAAAAAAAAAAAAAACCACAATAAAAAACATCCAACAGCACTACGTTTTGTTTCAACCTCAAGATAACTGCCGCTGCTGTACTTTGAATACCATCATTTGA